CCGGAGTGGGGACTGGAGCTGCAGTCCCGGCGTGGGGACTGGAGCTGCAGTCCCGGCGTGGGGACTGGAGCTGCAGTCCCGGCGTGGGGACTGGAGCTGCAGTCCCGGCGTGGGGACTGGAGCTGCAGTCCCGGCGTGGGGACTGGAGCTGCAGTCCCGGGTTGGGGACTGGAGCTGCAGTCCCGGCGTGGGGACTGGAGCTACAGTCCCGGCTTGGGGACTGGAGCTGCAGTCCCGGCTTGGGGACTGGAGCTGCAGTCCCGCGTGGGGACTGGAGCTGCAGTCCCGGCTTGGGGACTGGAGCTGCAGTCCCGGCGTGGGGACTGGAGCTGCAGTCCCGGCGTGGGGACTGGAGCTGCAGTCCCGCGTGGGGACTGGAGCTGCAGTCCCAGCCTGGGGACTGGAGCTGCAGTCCCGGAGTGGGGACTGGAGCTGCAGTCCCGGCTTGGGGACTGGAGCTGCGGTCCCGGCTTGGGGACTGGAGCTGCGGTCCCGGCTTGGGGACTGGAGCTGCAGTCCCGGCTTGGGGACTGGAGCTGCAGTCCTGGAGTGGGGACTGGAGCTGCAGTCCCGGCGTGGGGACTGGAGCTGCAGTCCCAGGTTGGGGACTGGAGCTGCAGTCCCGGCGTGGGGACTGGAGCTGCAGTCCCGGCTTGGGGACTGGAGCTGCAGTCCCGGCTTGGGGACTGGAGCTGCAGTCCCGGCGTGGGGACTGGAGCTGCAGTCCCGGCCTGGGGACTGGAGCTGCAGTCCCGCGTGGGGACTGGAGCTGCAGTCCCGGCGTGGGGACTGGAGCTGCAGTCCCGGCGTGGGGACTGGAGCTGCAGTCCCGGCGTGGGGACTGGAGCTGCAGTCCCGGGTTGGGGACTGGAGCTGCAGTCCCGGCGTGGGGACTGGAGCTGCAGTCCCGGCTTGGGGACTGGAGCTGCAGTCCCGGCGTGGGGACTGGAGCTGCAGTCCCGAGTGGGGACTGGAGCTGCAGTCCTGGAGTGGGGACTGGAGCTGCAGTCCCGGCTTGCGGACTGGAGCTGCAGTCCCGGCTTGGGGACTGGAGCTGCAGTCCCAGCGTGGGGACTGGAGCTGCAGTCCCGGAGTGGGGACTGGAGCTGCAGTCCCGGCTTGGGGACTGGAGCTGCAGTCCCGGAGTGGGGACTGGAGCTGCAGTCCCGGCGTGGGGACTGGAGCTGCAGTCCCGGGTGGGGACTGGAGCTGCAGTCCCGGCTTGGGGACTGGAGCTGCAGTCCCGGCCTGGGGACTGGAGCTGCAGTCCCGCGTGGGGACTGGAGCTGCAGTCCCGGCGTGGGGACTGGAGCTGCAGTCCCGGCCTGGGGACTGGAGCTGCAGTCCCGCGTGGGGACTGGAGCTGCAGTCCCGGCGTGGGGACTGGAGCTGCAGTCCCAGCGTGGGGACTGGAGCTGCAGTCCCGGCGTGGGGACTGGAGCTGCAGTCCCGGGTTGGGGACTGGAGCTGCAGTCCCGGCGTGGGGACTGGAGCTGCAGTCCCGGCTTGGGGACTGGAGCTGCAGTCCCGGCTTGGGGACTGGAGCTGCAGTCCCGGCGTGGGGACTGGAGCTGCAGTCCCGGCCTGGGGACTGGAGCTGCAGTCCCGCGTGGGGACTGGAGCTGCAGTCCCGGCGTGGGGACTGGAGCTGCAGTCCCGGCGTGGGGACTGGAGCTGCAGTCCCGGCGTGGGGACTGGAGCTGCAGTCCCGGGTTGGGGACTGGAGCTGCAGTCCCGGCGTGGGGACTGGAGCTGCAGTCCCGGCTTGGGGACTGGAGCTGCAGTCCCGGCTTGGGGACTGGAGCTGCAGTCCCGCGTGGGGACTGGAGCTACGCGGGACTGGAGCTGCAGTCCCGGCTTGGGGACTGGAGCTGCAGTCCCGGCGTGGGGACTGGAGCTGCAGTCCCGGCGTGGGGACTGGAGCTGCAGTCCCGCGTGGGGACTGGAGCTGCAATCCCAGCCTGGGGACTGGAGCTGCAGTCCCGGAGTGGGGACTGGAGCTGCAGTCCCGGCGTGGGGACTGGAGCTGCAGTCCCGGCGTGGGGACTGGAGCTGCAGTCCCGGCGTGGGGACTGGAGCTGCAGTCCCGGCGTGGGGACTGGAGCTGCAGTCCCGGCGTGGGGACTGGAGCTGCAGTCCCGGGTTGGGGACTGGAGCTGCGGTCCCGGCTTGGGGACTGGAGCTGCAGTCCCGGCTTGGGGACTGGAGCTGCAGTCCTGGAGTGGGGACTGGAGCTGCAGTCCCGGCTTGCGGACTGGAGCTGCAGTCCCGGCTTGGGGACTGGAGCTGCAGTCCCGGAGTGGGGACTGGAGCTGCAGTCCCGGCTTGGGGACTGGAGCTGCAGTCCCGGAGTGGGGACTGGAGCTGCAGTCCCGGCTTGGGGACTGGAGCTGCAGTCCCGGCTTGGGGACTGGAGCTGCAGTCCCGGCGTGGGGACTGGAGCTGCAGTCCCGGCGTGGGGACTGGAGCTGCAGTCCCGGCTCGGGGACTGGAGCTGCAGTCCCGGCGTGGGGACTGGAGCTGCAGTCCCGAGTGGGGACTGGAGCTGCAGTCCCGGCTTGCGGACTGGAGCTACAGTCCCGGCTTGGGGACTGGAGCTGCAGTCCCGGAGTGGGGACTGGAGCTGCAGTCCCGGCTTGGGGACTGGAGCTGCAGTCCCGGGTGGGGACTGGAGCTGCAGTCCCGGCTTGGGGACTGGAGCTGCAGTCCCGGCTTGGGGACTGGAGCTGCAGTCCCGGCGTGGGGACTGGAGCTGCAGTCCCGGCTTGCGGACTGGAGCTGCAGTCCCGGCTTGGGGACTGGAGCTGCGGTCCCGGCTTGGGGACTGGAGCTGCAGTCCCGGCTTGAGGACTGGAGCTGCAGTCCCGGCGTGGGGACTGGAGCTGCAGTCCCGGGTGGGGACTGGAGCTGCAGTCCCGGCATGGGGACTGGAGCTGCAGTCCCGGCTTGGGGACTGGAGCTGCAGTCCCGGCTTGGGGACTGGAGCTGCAGTCCCGGCGTGGGGACTGGAGCTGCAGTCCCGGCGTGGGGACTGGAGCTGCAGTCCCGGCTTGGGGACTGGAGCTGCAGTCCTGGAGTGGGGACTGGAGCTGCAGTCCCGGCTTGCGGACTGGAGCTGCAGTCCCGGCTTGGGGACTGGAGCTGCAGTCCCGGAGTGGGGACTGGAGCTGCAGTCCCGGCTTGGGGACTGGAGCTGCAGTCCCGGCTTGGGGACTGGAGCTGCAGTCCCGGCTTGGGGACTGGAGCTGCAGTCCCGGCGTGGGGACTGGAGCTGCAGTCCCGGCGTGGGGACTGGAGCTGCAGTCCCGGCTTGGGGACTGGAGCTGCAGTCCCGGCTTGGGGACTGGAGCTGCAGTCCCGGCGTGGGGACTGGAGCTGCAGTCCCGGCGTGGGGACTGGAGCTGCAGTCCCGGCTCGGGGACTGGAGCTGCAGTCCCGGCGTGGGGACTGGAGCTGCAGTCCCGAGTGGGGACTGGAGCTGCAGTCCCGGCTTGCGGACTGGAGCTGCAGTCCCGGCTTGGGGACTGGAGCTGCAGTCCCGGAGTGGGGACTGGAGCTGCAGTCCCGGCTTGGGGACTGGAGCTGCAGTCCCGGGTGGGGACTGGAGCTGCAGTCCCGGCTTGGGGACTGGAGCTGCAGTCCCGGCTTGGGGACTGGAGCTGCAGTCCCGGCGTGGGGACTGGAGCTGCAGTCCCGGCTTGCGGACTGGAGCTGCAGTCCCGGCTTGGGGACTGGAGCTGCGGTCCCGGCTTGGGGACTGGAGCTGCAGTCCCGGCTTGAGGACTGGAGCTGCAGTCCTGGAGTGGGGACTGGAGCTGCAGTCCCGGCGTGGGGACTGGAGCTGCAGTCCCGGCTTGGGGACTGGAGCTGCAGTCCCCGCTTGGGGACTGGAGCTGCAGTCCCGGCGTGGGGACTGGAGCTGCAGTCCCGGCGTGGGGACTGGAGCTGCAGTCCCGGCTTGGGGACTGGAGCTGCAGTCCCGGCGTGGGGACTGGAGCTGCAGTCCCGAGTGGGGACTGGAGCTGCAGTCCTGGAGTGGGGACTGGAGCTGCAGTCCCGGCTTGCGGACTGGAGCTGCAGTCCCGGCGTGGGGACTGGAGCTGCAGTCCCGGCTTGGGGACTGGAGCTGCAGTCCCGGAGTGGGGACTGGAGCTGCAGTCCCGGCGTGGGGACTGGAGCTGCAGTCCCGGGTGGGGACTGGAGCTGCAGTCCCGGCTTGGGGACTGGAGCTGCAGTCCCGGAGTGGGGACTGGAGCTGCAGTCCCGGCGTGGGGACTGGAGCTGCAGTCCCGGGTGGGGACTGGAGCTGCAGTCCCGGCTTGGGGACTGGAGCTGCAGTCCCGGCTTGGGGACTGGAGCTGCAGTCCCGCGTGGGGACTGGAGCTGCAGTCCCGGAGTGGGGACTGGAGCTGCAGTCCCAGCTTGGGGACTGGAGCTGCAGTCCCGGAGTGGGGACTGGAGCTGCAGTCCCGGCGTGGGGACTGGAGCTGCAGTCCCGGCTTGGGGACTGGAGCTGCAGTCCCGGAGTGGGGACTGGAGCTGCAGTCCCGGCGTGGGGACTGGAGCTGCAGTCCCGGCGTGGGGACTGGAGCTGCAGTCCCGCGTGGGGACTGGAGCTGCAGTCCCGGCTTGGGGACTGGAGCTGCAGTCCCGGCCTGGGGACTGGAGCTGCAGTCCCGCGTGGGGACTGGAGCTGCAGTCCCGGCGTGGGGACTGGAGCTGCAGTCCCGGCCTGGGGACTGGAGCTGCAGTCCCGCGTGGGGACTGGAGCTGCAGTCCCGGCGTGGGGACTGGAGCTGCACTCACCCCTTCACACATACCACATACCCTCCCCACTCACACTCACCCCTTCCATCCGCTGCTTCCACGCTGCATTCGAGTCCACCTCGTTCCTTGCATCATCTTTAAACACCAACGTGTATGGCAGCCGCAGCACCACCACCCTCCCTCATACCTGCAATGCAACGCTCACCCCTTCACACCCACCCATTGGCACTCACCCCTTCCATCCTCTGCTTCCAGGCTGCATTCGAGTCCACCTCGTTCCGTGCATCGTCCTCAAACACCAATGCGTACGGCAGCCGCAGCACCACCACCCTCGCCCACACCTCGAAATGCGCGAACGCGTATGCGAGGTCGTGGGGGTGGAAGGTGGAGCGGAGGGCGAGCGAGCGTGCAGGGAACACTGGGTCGTACCTGAAAGGCGGAAGGAGGGAGAGGGGGAGAGAAGGGAAGAGGAGCAGAATGGATGTGATTGGCAGCCGCAGCACCACCACCCTCGCCCACACCTCAAAATGCGCGAACGCGTATGCAAAGTCGTGTGGGTGGAAGGTGGAGCGGAGGGAGAGCGAGCGGGCAGGGAACACTGGGTCGTATCTGGAAGGGAGGAAAGGCCGAAGCAAGGAAGATTTTTTTAAGGCGCCTCAAGAATTGAACACAGGGAGCTGTAAATGGGGCATGGGGGCATGGGAGCATGGAAGCATGGGAGAGTGGGAGAGGCAGCAACACCGCCTTCACAGACACGAAAGCACACGAGCGCGCGCGCGCGCACTCACACACACACATCGTGATTTAAACGGCTCTTCCAGTGCCATGGGCATCACCACCTGCGTGAACTGCAGCCCTGCTTCACACGAGTATACTCGCTTTACAATAAACACACACACTGGATACTCTTTACCACGCACACAATCACACGCACCGGGCTTTAAACGGCTCCTCCAGAGTCATGGGCATCACCACCTGCGTGTACTGCAGCCCTGCCGCTTGCAGTCATACACTCACATCATATCCACACACAGTACACTCTAAACCACAAACACACGAACAGTATGCTTTCTACCACACTCACCTCGCTTTAAACGGCTCTTCCAGTGCCATGGGCATCACCACCTGTGTGTACTGCAGCCCTGCTGCTCGGACTTACACTAACTCAGTATACTCTCTGCCAACCCCCTTCACACACTCACCGGGCTTTAAACGGCTCTTCCAGCGCCATGGGCATCACAACCTGCGTGTACTGCAGCCCTGCTGCTCGGAACCGACGGTCCAGATTCTGCCAGAGAGCACATGTGGGGCACAGGTGGGGTGTAACGGGCACAGGTGACAGGTGGGGGACAGACAGAGGTGGGGAGGCAGAGGAGATGAGCAGAGGTGGTGGGGGAAAGAGAGAGGGGGAAACGAGTAGAGTGGGAAACAGAAGGAATGAAGAGGAGATAGGCGCACGGCTTGAGTGCCTGTGCCCTTATCGCTGTGCGCCTCTGTTCAACGAATAAGCTGTCAGTGCTCCATGCAGAAAGACTAAACAGCAGCTTCATATAGAGACAAGACAGAAGGTTTTCTGAGGAGCCTACTGAGGAGCCTAAAAATAGTCCCATGAAGATGGAAGGAGGCAGGAAAGATAATGTAATAGTGGCGTCGCAGTAAGCTTCTTCAGCAGCAGCAACATTCAGAACGGAAAGGAGAGAGGAGCAAGAACGCACAGCAAGCAGCAACTCTCACCATACCAGCAGCGTCTCTCGTCGTCCCTTGCCCGGCTCCCCCGTCCCGATGACAAACACGCTCTCAGCTTGCCACTCGTGCAGCCTCAAAGGCAGCCCCGTGCGGCGCCGCGAGGGGTCCAGCGTCAGCAGGTGCACGGAGAAGTTTCTGGGAAGCAGCGCGTCGGGTCGGAGTCCGTCCATTTCAGTCACACGCTGCAGCTCGTTTAAACAGTCGTCCACTCCTGCTACTGCTGCTGATGATGATGATATGTTGGTGGGTGCGATTTGAGCGGCAGTAGCACCAGCATTACCAGCAGCAGCAGCGTGAGCAGCACTTGTGGTTAGTGTTGCAGCAGCAGAGGCAGAAGGGCCTCTTTCCAACAGCGCTGCTCTCCTGCTACTCTCGCTGACGTTACTGCTGGCATGGCTGCTGCTGCTGGTGCTGCTGCCACTGCTGCCACTGCGGTGTTCCTCTGAGCCTATCCCTCTCGTCTCTACCCTACCACTCACTCCTCCACCGCTCCCCTTCCTCCTCCGTTTCCTTCCTTTACCACCTCTCCTCCTCGCCTCCATCCTCTTCCTCCTATCGCTCTCAACCACTCTCCGCCACTCCTTCCTACTCCTCGCCGCCTTCTCCCGCTTCTCCCACACCTCCACCCCGCCTCTCACAACCCCCCCAACTCTCTCCCACATGGCATTCGCCAATTGGCTCCCGAACCCCACCAGTCTCCCCACCCACCCCCAACCCACCTTCCCCTTTTCCTTCTCCTGATCCTCCCCTTCCTCCTCCTCCCCTCCTTTCTCCCCCTCCTCCTCGTTCTCCTGCCCATCCTCCTCCTCCACAGGTTGCTCTATTAGGCTCTCTAGGGTTTTAAAATCCTCCGCGGAAAGCGGCGGCGCGGCGACCGCGGGAGTCGGATCCTCCGTCTCTTGCTCGGATTCGTCGCCCTGGTGCGGGTTACTGCGGCTTGTCGCGTCGTTCGTCGCACGGCTCGCGTCGCCGTCCGCTGCAGTGTGCATGCGGTGCGTGGGATGTAAGAGGAAGAGGAGCCGCTGCGCGCGGAATGGCCGTTGCGGGTCGAACCGTCGTTGCATTTCGAATTCGCCGGTGAGGAGGAGGGAGAAGGCGAGTAGGATCGCGAGGGCGACGAAGCGGAGAGGCGTGGACCGCATTATGCGAGCGGGGACCCGCCGAATCCGGCGGAGGAATGAAGGGGTGTGTGGCTGGGCGGCGCGTGTTGGATACGCCATAGCGCAGCGGAATCAGAGACAGGCCATTCTGTCAGGTTTGTCAGCACACTCAAGTGCTTGAAAATTACTAGCATGAAGAAAAATTAGTTTGATGTTCCTGAGAAGCATACGGATTTGAGAGACGGTATCGAGTGTATATTGTAACGGTTTCTGCCCAGTAACACGCGAGAAATATCTGTTGGCTGCAGACTGGGCTGGGCTGGATGACAGACGGAGGAAACGGCGTGGCTTCCGTCGGTTGGGCTATACAAATATCTTTACAACATGCGGAAAGAAAAAATGAACCAACCAGGTATCAGAAATGGGAAGTGAACTGTTTCGTCTGACGGAATCCTGCACTTTCGACCGTCAGTTGTAACTGGAATTGGTCACGCCACCTGGCATGTCACTGACTTATCCCTCCCTTCCAGCGGGGACAGACAAAGGCTGACCAATCACCTCCATAAAGTTCTTGAAAGCAGTTCGAGTCCAGGTTCGTCTTCTGTAACCAGCCATAGGAAAATATAGTTCTCGCCCACCTTCGCAAACGCACTCAACCAATGTGCCAGCTCCTGGGCCCTCGGATTGTCGCGAAATATGCGCAGGGCAAGCCCTAGATCACTCGTCTCTTTGGGAATCCCCGCTCCTCTTCCGCTCACCTCCAGCCAATTCTCTCCGGGACCTTCCCCTGTGATCTTTTCCTCATGAACTTTTCCGCTCACCCTGCTCCGCCGAATCAGCCCGCAATGCCCACATCCCTCCCCCCCCCCGCTTCCCCTCCGCGGCACTCTGCTGTGACTCGGAAGTTTCAAACCGAACCTGCTCGAAGAAGCCTTCGCAGCCTGCCTGCTTTTCAAACTGCCATCCCGCTTCAACCTTCACAGCGCTATATAAAGCGTATTTACCGCTGGTGCTGTGCTGTATTGTTTTGAGAAATTCGGCAAGGCAGATAGAGCCACGTCTTTCGTCGCTTCTATACTTCTCTTCACTCGTGATTACTAGAAGCGATCGACCATGGCGACTGCTATCCGTGCAGCCGTTTCCGCCGAGCTCGCCTCTGCTGCCACCACCGCAGCAACGAGGGCACCGACCTCGCTTAGTAAGCTAAGCTCTACCGCGCGTATTCGCTGTTAGGGCATGACCTGTTTACCAGTTCGCCCATCGTACGCGAAGATTTGGTCAACAGAAGCGTTTGACATTGTTCTTGAACTTTCCTCTCCGTTCTTGAATTAGGGTTTCGTTCGCTTCGCTAGACATACCCTGTTACACATTTCCAGTCTGTGCCTCCATGTGGCAGCGGCTTGCATCGTTCTCCCTCGCGTTCCCCTTGTCTTGCATGTTTTCCGCTCCCAACCCTTCCTCATCTTCCCCCCCCCCCCCCGCCCCACCCTTTCCCCCTTACCCCTCCCCCTCCATTCCTTTTCCACCCCCTTCCTCCCCAACCATCCTGTCGTTTGTCTGTCGACCAATCAGCATCCGCGTTCGTCGGCTCTTTCAAGTCTGCCTCGCTCTCCACCTTCTCCGCCGCTCCCCTTCGCGCCGCATCGGTCGCCAAGAGGCCAGTCGTCCGTGCCGCCGTCGCAACCGACAAACCCGCCACCGCGTGAGTATTCGACTCGCAGTTCACATGCGGTCAGTCCACCAGCAAGCCCGAGGCCCTGGTGCCATGCCAAGCTCCCAACTTCGCTCCTCATAGTCCAACTTCGCTCCTCAAAGTCCGAGGCCATTTTCCTGACTGAAGTTTTGTCCTTGCTTCGCAATTTCCTGCTTTCACCTTTTCTCTCCTCCACTCCGCTCCTCGTACCCCTTCACCTGCCACGTCATCAGGTATCAGAATCCCACGTGGGCGCGCTTCGAGCTCGGCTTGGCCCCTGTTTTCTGGGAAACCGCCACCGGCCTTCCCCCTGCCTCCGTACGTCCATCTTCCCTTCCATCCGCCCTCTCCATGCTGCTGCCGTTCGTCTTTATCCTTTCCCGTTCCGGAGTCTGCCACGTGAGGGTCTTTATCCTTTCCCGTTCCGGCGTTCGCCACGTGAGGCGACTCAGCAGTCCCCCGCCTGTCCAATCCCTCACAGTGTCCTGCCATTCCCTCACCCTTCGTCTTCCACCCCGCGTCCCCTTCTCCCTCCTCATCAGCCCTTCTGAGGCTTCCACACTCACACCCCACCATCTGAGACGACTCACAAGTCCCTCTTATCTCCACGCTGCTCGCTTCCCTCTCCGCGCCTCTCCCCGCGCGCGTGTCTCTCTCTGTTAACACAGGGCGAGCTGATGACCATCTGGTTCAACCCCGAGGCGTCCACCCTCACACCCAACCGTCTGCGTCCACTCACATGTATCTACACGGCATCCCCTCCCCTCTCTCCGTCCCCACCTTCTCCCGCGCGCATGGCTCCCGTGCCACACAGGGCGAGCTCATGACCATCTGGTTCAACCCCGAAGCGTCCATTCTCACGCCCCTCCGTCTGAGACCACTCACAACAAGTCACTCTATATCCACGCTGCTCTCTCCCCTCCCCGTCCCTCTTGTTTTCGGCACAGGGCGAGCTGATGACCATCTGGTTCAACCCCGAGGCGTCCACTCTCACACCCAACCCCGAGTTCGGCGTTGCTTTCAACGGTACGCCGCCCCTGCTCTCTTTTTGCCGCCTCGGCCGATGCTCGTCACTCTCTCGCACCCCTTCCCCGTTCTTGAAACCTTTCCAGCTGTTTTCTGCCCAGGCCCTGTTGCCCGTCAGCAATTCTCGCCTTTTTTTTTTCACAAATCGCCCTCTCGCTGTGTGCCGAACCTCTCACGATTGGGCAGGCAGCGACAAACGGCATGCCGAACCTCTCTGCACTTTCACTCCACGCGCGCTCCAGACCTGTAACCTGCAAAGAGCCGTCGTCAATGGGGCCTCGGAAACCATTTTTTCTCTCTGTCCTTTGCACCTTCTCGCCCTCCCAGGCAGCTTCAATTCAACAGCCCCGTCATGTGTGGCGGCGAGGCGAGGCAGATGAGCCGCAAGGAGCGCGGGCCGAGCTGTCGTTTGGATCCACTCAAAAGCCCACTTTTTCTCTCTGTCCTTTCTCCCTCCCCCTCTTCCTTCCCAGGCGGCTTCAACAGCCCCATCATGTGTGGCGGCGAGGCGAGGCAGATGAGCCGCTAGGAGCGCGGGCCGAGCTGCCTTTTGACCCGACTCAAAGTCCATCCGTCTCTCTCTGCCCTTTCCACCTTCTCCCCTCCCCCTCCCAGGCGGCTTCAACAGCCCCATCATGTGCGGCGGGGAGGCGCGGCGGATGAGCCGCAAGGACCGCGGGCCGAGCTGCGCGCCGCTGTTCTCAATCAAGGTGAACGTGCCGCTGCACGCCAAGACCATCGAGTTCTCCATGACCGACGGCGAGGCCTGGGACGGCCCGTATGTGGTCGAGATGCAGATCCCGGCCGCCTTCCGCAACCAGCCCATGTCATTCTTCAATGAGGTGAGGCCCATTCGGAGGTGAACGTGCCGCTGCACGCCAAGACCATCGAGTTCTCCATGACCGACGGCGAGGCCTGGGACGGCCCGTATGTGGTCGAGATGCAGATCCCGGCTGCGTTCCGCAACCAGCCCATGTCATTCTTCAATGAGGTGAGGCACCGTCAGAGGTACCTTACGTGTTTCAGTCAGCTGAAGAGCATTTTCTGGTCAAACCTCCCACTGTCTATTCAGTCTCCGCACCCGCATGCACACACTGACGTTTTCCTCACCCTCCCCTGCTTCTCACCCCGTGCTGTCTCTCCCACACACCCTTCCTCCGCCCCTCCCACACTCCCCTGCCCCCCTTTTTCCCCAACGCCAGGGTTTGAAGAAGACGCTGGAGGCAGAGGGAGCGTGCGATGACACCATCTTCCCCGACTCGCAATACGTGCCCGACCGATGCATCATGCCGGGCGGTATCGCCAAGGAAGAGGTACGCAGGGTCTTCACATTTCTCTAATGCTCTCCCACACATTATTCACATAAATTTTCACCTTACCGTAAAAGCTGTACTTTTTACGTAATCTCAACCTATTCCTAATCCTCCAAATGTATTCACCTGTGTTCCCACCTTCAGGGCCAGTCGTGCCGGCTTGACCTTGTGCCAGGCTGCATGGACCCCAGCTCGCCATTCTTTGACCCGCTTGCCAACGTGGACGATGGCTCGTGCCCCATTGACGTGCCCCAAAAGTAGATGGATTAGTGGTGTTGGAGCAGAGAAGGTGCAGAGGCATTTGGGTTATTATTTTAGCATCAGGTGATGCCAGTGATAGTGTTGTAGCATCAGCATGATGTCCATACTTGTGAATACATGCTAGAATGCTGCTGCTGTTGATTATTTGGCGTTTTCGCAGAACATCTTCAGTTCGCAGATCGTTGTTACCGCCAGTGCCTAGGAGGCTGTTCCGCTCTCCCCCGGGCCATTCTCCCCCCGCCACGGCACGGCACGCCTCCATGGCCCCCCTCCCCTCCAACACTGCATGCTCTTCATAATTGTTCCCTGGATGTCTGGAGTACCGTACTGTACCGATCTCAGTCCCTGAATCTGAATGCTAGATTCAGTTCTGTTCTCAGATTCAAACATATCTTTCAGCTTGCTGAATTCCTCGAGTTTCCCAAGGCTAGCTCATTCTTATTTGCATGCAACTCTGAAGTCCATAAACCAGCTCCTCGCCATGGCAACTCACTACCTCTGTGTCTCCTTGGCTCTCGAATCCAGAGACGCTTCGTACGGTGCTAGGAGAACTAGTTTCCAGTTTAGAAAGATCTGGAGTTACCGCAACTGGACATCCTAGCTTTCCTTAGGCGCTATCGCTCCCGTCGCTCCCGTCCCATCAATCCAGCTCTTTTGCGTGTTACCTCTACTGCATCTTTAGCTGAACGGCGTAAGCGTGACCCTCCAAAAGGCCCCATTATGAAGGGTTCCGTCCCTGGTTGTCCGTAAAGTAGCTTCACCATGGTGGACTGTGGAGGCCAACTAAACTTGCTTCCGATCTTTATGTTGTTTTAGTTGGAGCTTTCCATTATGCCATGACCTGGCTATTGCGTAGTATCCGTCAATGGAATCTATAAGCAGCACACCTCCCAGCGCCGTCGTTCCCGATACTACGACCGGCCTTCGCTGCGGTTACGAGCACGCTTCAAAGACTGCATACGCCGTATTGACACTGCTGTTGAGACTGAGATCGGCCTTCTCAGCGGTACCGAGCTCCGCTGCACAATACCTCGTGTCATGGCGTCACGGCGACTTCGTGCAATCCTCTTGAGTAGATGACGGTTGATCCGAACAGCATATCCGGAGGCGTTAGCTGTATTCCGAGCTCCGCTCGTCGTCACGGCTGCGACCATCAGGTCTCTTGTCGACTCGTCGTCCGAGTCGCATCTCGGTCTCTACGCATTTGGGTCTCTGCGCTACGGCGTCGCAGGATCGCGGCGTGGCAGAACGACGTGCCAGGCTCTCCGGTGTTGGCGACTCTTTATCCGATCATTCGTGCGTAAACGTCGTGGCGACGAGCAGCAGCGGAGCAGTGAGCAGCGAGTAGCGAGCAACGACTGAGGGGTTACGAGCAGCGAGCAACAACAATGTCGGCGAACGACGAGCGACTTTGACGAACGATGACGACGACTACAGCTGGCACCTAGCCACGGCTACAAAGTCGAGCGACAAGGAGCGACAGCCGACGAACGACGTGCGACGCGCGACGGACGACGAGTGGCGGAGGAGTGAAAGGCGTTGGAATGATGTTCCAGTCCAACAGCATCAACCCCGCTGTCATCTGCTCGTGGCAACCCTTGTCACTAAACCTAAGTGCTCGTTTCCGAATCACTCTCCTTCTGATCACTCACTTTTTTTCCGTTGCCACCGCCGTGGCATTAAAGTGGAGCGTTCAAGAACGCATGGCTGAGTAGAGCGGGCGGGCTAGCTTGCCTTCATCCCATGCCCGTGTCCCTCTCTACTCCAGTCCGCCTCCATCGCTCAGCTCACTGCCGCACTGCCTCAGGCTGCTCTCTCCATGCGCCTCTGCTCCCCGATGCAGTTCTCAAGTCCTCCCATCACTCATTACGCTCGATTATGCTCAGCTGCTGCTCAGCTGCTTTTGATTCGCTTTGCCCTCATGCTCTTGAAGTTCCCTTCAGTCGCTTTTAGTTTTCATCAATTGCTTCCAGTTCCCTCAATTGCTTTCACTTTATTCTGTTATACCCTCCTCCCCTCAATTGCTTTTTCTTTTATTCTGTGTTCCAGGACAATGGAGAATTGAAGGTTGCTGTAACAGCAGATGCTGAAGAACCAGCAGCGGCAGCATTACCACCACCACCACCACCTCCACCACCACCACCACCACCACCACCACCACCACCACCACCACCACCACCACCACCACCACCACCACCACCACCACCACCACCACCACCACCACCACCACCACCACCACCACCACCACCACCACCACCACCACCACCACCACCACCAACACCAACACCACGGGTGCCAGTATGACCACGAACACCTAGCACCCACCACATCAAAAAACAGAGACGGCAGGCGGAGTCCGACCTTTTCTCGGTCTTGGCGGCTGGGTCAAAACTGCAACCTCACCTCACCTTTCCGTGACATGCCCCAAAGCTCCTACTCTTTAGTCTCTGCTCTGGTGAGTCACATTGTGTTGACCAGTCTGCACTCTGTTTCTGGCTGTGGTGTGACTGCTACCTCCTCATTCTACTCCCCCTCCTGCGCTTCCTCATCTCTCACTCTCTCCTATCCTACTCCTCATGCTACCCTCAGCTGTTATTCCCGGCCTTGGTGTAGTGCCGTTTTTGGGTTCCAACGGGGATGTAGCTCAGATGGTAGAGCGCTCGCTTAGCATGCGAGAGGTACGGGGATCGATACCCCGCATCTCCAGTGTGTGCGGGGATAGCTCAGTTGGGAGAGCGTCAGACTGAAGATCTGAAGGTCGCGTGTTCGATCCACGCTCACCGCACGTTTTGCTTCTTTGACTACCCAGCATAAGATCGACTTGTGCTTGCTTGACCTACACAGCCCCTTTTTACTCTCTTCACTCGGACCCTTGTGCCTCTTCTTGCTCGCTTCACTCACTCACTCTTGTGCCTTTGCTCGCTTCCCTCACACACCCTTGTGCCTTTGCTCGCTTCACTCACACACCCTTGTGCCTTTGCTCGCTTCACTCACACACCCTTGTGCCTTTGCTCGCTTCACTCACACACCCTTGTGCCTTTGCTCGCTTCACTCACACACCCTTGTGCCTCGTTTTGCTCACTGCACTCACACACCCTTGTGGGTCTTCCTGCCGGGTTCACTCACGTACCCTTGTGCCTCTCACTCGCTTCACTCACACGCCCTTGTCCCTGTCTCTCGCTTCACTCACACACCCTTGTCCCTGTCTCTCGCTTCACTCACACACCCTTGCTCCCTTTTGTTCCCTTTACTCACATCACCATGTTTCTCTTTGCTCTCTTCACTCCCATACCCTTGTGCCTTTCTTTTTATTGACTCATGCTGCTCCCAACTGGCGTGCCTCCCTGACGTGAGCAGCTCAAGCAGGATATAAACAGGCAAGGCTAAACAGCGCTGAAACAGGTGGGGCTGCTCAGCAACACTTTATCACCACTTCCTCACACCCTCCTTCCTGTTCATCACCAATTGCACATTATGGTTCCCGTCACACATTCCTCTGTTCAGGCATTCCTGGCACACAAAGCATATGTGAGTACAAGGCATGTGTGAGCACTGTGAGCACAAAGCATGTGTGAGCTCAAAGCATGTGTGAGCTCAAAGCATGTGTGAGCACAAGGCATATGTGAGCACAAGGCATGTGTGAGCACAAGGCATGTGTGAGCACAAGGCATGTGTGAGGATGCAGCAGCACCAACGTTCGTTTTCTCGTCTGTCGCACATCCCGCTGTGCACGTGCAGGTAGGGCATTGTCAAGATTCAGACGGTTATCAGCAATACATAGGAGATAGGGGCATTGCATGCTATCAGCAGTCCATTGTGATTTTGCGTTCCTGATTCCAGATACCAGTACTTGATGTGACACCCCAAATTATGCCCTGTTTAGAGTGTGGTGCATACTTTGTGCTCTACTTGCTGTGCTGTGCTGTGCAGGCCCTAAAGAAGCATCAAGTCTGTGCGGCAATGAGAATGACTGATACTGTGTGCTGTGCTGTGCAGGCCCTAAAGAAGCATCAAGTCTGTGCGGCAATGAGTCTGTGCTGTGCTGTGCAGGCCCTAAAGAAGCATCAAGTCTGTGCGGCAATGAGACTGACTGATACTGACGCCATGTTGACGTTTAGCACCATGTTAGAGCACACTGTTCAACCTTTTCTAGCAATACGGTAATTTGGTAGCACATTGCGTGCACTACCAACGTTGACATGACACTTCAGGGTATGCTAGGTCACTTAAAGATTGCTGTCAGTATGGTTATTCTGCAAACCGTCACCAAGACATGCCATTGTTGCATTTTATTTCCAGTGTGTTCAGTAAGCAACATCCATCCATCCTCATCACACGCGTAAACACAAAGCCTCAGCTCAGCAACTGTGACTTCAGCTGTCTATATGGCTCTGTTTGTGCGCTTCTTTCTCAATTCTGTTTGTATGGTTTGGTCTCTGGTTCTGTCTGTATGGTTCTGTCTCTGGTTCTGTCTGTCTGCTTCTGTCTCTGGTTTTGTCTGTGTGCTTCTGTCTCTGGTTTTGTCTGTCTGCTTCTGTCTCTGGTTTTGTCTGTCTGCTTCTGTCTCTGGTTTTGTCTGTGTGCTTCTGTCTCTGGTTTTGTCTGTGTGCTTCTGTCTCTGGTTTTGTCTGTGTGCTTCTGTCTCTGGTTTTGTCTGTCTGCTTCTGTCTCTGGTTATGTCTGTGTGCTTCTGTCTCTGGTTCTGTCTGTGTGCTTATGTCTCTGGTTCTGATCAAGTTGTTTAGTATGTCACACCAGGAAATGCACATCATACGGTGCATCAGTTGATTTTAACGATTTAATATGCTAGTCCATTGCATTGATTGTCCACAAATGCCTGTAATAAAGCAACACCTACGGTATTGCAGTATAACAGTATCCTGCTAATTATCCATTCAAGTTCCTACTTATGATTCGAAACAATTATTAATAGTTGTACTATTGTATTACCCATGCACTGTAGGTGTGCATGGGGGGTTCCTCTTGGCCGCCAGGAGCAAGCTCCCAACGTTACACCCAAGCACCGCGGTGAGGTGGGAACCATCGCTTGGGACACCTGTTGGGGGGGGAGACAGAACACAAAAGGATACTGGATACTACCCAGGGGCAGGTGAAAATTAATATGTGACTCTGTTGGGGGGGGAGACAGAACACAAAAGGACACTGGATACTGCCCAGGGGCAGGTGAAAATTAATATGTGACTCTGTTGGGGGGGGAGACAGAACACAAAAGGAAACTGGATACTGCCCAGGGGCAGGTGAAAATTAATATGTGACTCTGTTGGGGGGGGAGACAGAACACAAACGGAAACTGGATACTGCCCAGAGGCAGGTGAAAATTAATATGTGACTCTGTTGGGGGGGGAAAACAGAACACAAACTGATACTGGATAGTGCCCAGGGGCAGGTGAAAATTATTATGAGACCCTGTTGGGGGGGGAGACAGAACACAAAAGGATACTAGGTGGAAATTATTATGTGACCTTGTTGGGGGGGGAGACAGAACACAAAAGGATACTGGATACTGCCCAGGGGCAGGTCGAAATTATTATGTGACCCTGTTGGGAGGGGAGACAGAACACAAAAAAAATAGGCAGGTGGAAATTAGTATGTGACCCTGTTGGGGGGGGAGAGAGAACACAAAAGGATACTGGATACTGCCCAGGGGCAGGTGGAAATTATTATGTGACCCTGTTGGGGGGGGAGACAGAACACAAACGGATACTGGATAGTGCCCAGGGGCAGGTGAAAATTATTATGAGACCCTGTTGGGGGGGGAGACAGAACACAAAAGGATACTAGGTGTAAATTATTATTTGACCCTGTTGGGGGGGGAGACAGAACACAAAAGGATACTGGATACTGCCCAGGGGCAGGTGGAAATTATCATGTGACCCTGTTGGGGGGGGAGACAGAACACAAAAGGATAGGCAGGTGGAAATTAATATGTGACCCTGTTGGGGAGGGAGAGAGAACACAAAAGGATAGGCAGGTGGAAATTAATATGTGACCCTGTTGGGGGGGGAGAGAGAACAAAGAGCAAACTGCAGTGAGGAGGGAGAGTTTTGAGAGTGAGTTTCGAGACGTCTCTCGAAACTCACAAGAGAGAACAGAACTGCCACCGGCAGTTCACAACTGGATTTGAGGCGCCTCAAACCAGCAAACGAGGTCCTACTCTGCTTCCCTGCAACCTGCTTCAACTCCTGTTCTGCTTCGCTGCAACCTGTGTTCCCTGCAACCTGCTTCACCCCCTGTTCTGCTTCGCTGCAACCTGTGTTCCCTGCAACCTGCTTCACCCCCTGTTCTGCTTCGCTGCAACCTGTGTTCCCTGCAACCCGCTTCAACCCCTGTTCTGCTTCGCTGCAACCCGTGTTCCCTGCAACCTGCTTCACCCCCTGTTCTGCTTCGCTGCAACCTGTGTTCCCTGCAACCTGCTTCACCCCCTGTTCTGCTTCGCTGCAACCTGTGTTCCCTGCAACCTGTGTTCCCTGCAACCTGCTTCACCCCCTGTTCTGCTTCGCTGCAACCTGTGTTCCCTGCAACCTGCTTCACCCCCTGTTCTGCTTCGCTGCAACCTGTGTTCCCTGCAACCTGCTTCACCCCCTGTTCTGCTTCGCTGCAACCTGTGTTCCCTGCAACCTGCTTCACCCCCTGTTCTGCTTCGCTGCAACCTGTGTTCCCTGCAAACTGCTTCACCCCCTGTTCTGCTTCGCTGCAACCTGTGTTCCCTGCAACCTGCTTCACCCCCTGTTCTGCTTCGCTGCAACCTGTGTTCCCTGCAATCTGCTTCACCCCCTGTTCTGCTTCGCTGCAACCTGTGTTCCCTGCAAACTGCTTCACCCCCTGTTCTGCTTCGCTGCAACCTGTGTTCCCTGCAACCTGCTTCACCCCCTGTTCTGCTTCGCTGCAACCTGTGTTCCCTGCAACCTGTGTTCCCTGCAACCTGCTTCACCCCCTGTTCTGCTTCGCTGCAACCTGTGTTCCCTGCAACCTGCTTCACCCCCTGTTCTGCTTCGCTGCAACCTGTGTTCCCTGCAACCTGCTTCACCCCCTGTTCTGCTTCGCTGCAACCTGTGTTCCCTGCAACCTGCTTCACCCCCTGTTCTGCTTCGCTGCAACCTGTGTTCCCTGCAAACTGCTTCACCCCCTGTTCTGCTTCGCTGCAACCTGTGTTCCCTGCAACCTGCTTCACCCCCTGTTCTGCTTCGCTGCAACCTGTGTTCCCTGCAATCTGCTTCACCCCCTGTTCTGCTTCGCTGCAACCTGTGTTCCCTGCAAACTGCTTCACCCCCTGTTCTGCTTCGCTGCAACCTGTGTTCCCTGCAACCTGCTTCACCCCCTGTTCTGCTTCGCTGCAACCTGTGTTCCCTGCAACCTGCTTCACCTCCTGTTCTGCTTCGCTGCAACCTGTGTTCCCTGCAACCTGCTTCACCCCCTGTTCTGCTTCGCTGCAACCTGTGTTCCCTGCAACCTGCTTCACCCCCTGTTCTGCTTCGCTGCAACCTGTGTTCCCTGCAAACTGCTTCACCCCCTGTTCTGCTTCGCTGCAACCTGTGTTCCCTGCAACCTGCTTCACCCCCTGTTCTGCTTCGCTGCAACCTGTGTTCCCTGCAACCCGCTTCACCCCCTGTTCTGCTTCGCTGCAACCTGTGTTCCCTGCAACCTGCGCCACCAGGCAAAACGAAAAAGGCAACAACCATGCATCAGAACGAACAAACCAGCTAACGCAAGTGCAAAACAAATAAAGCAACAACAATGCATCTGAACGAACAAACAAGCTAACGCAAGAAAGAGGAAACCCAATGGCAGCACATAGTTCCTCCACCTCTGTGCTTGTTCGCTCCATAGCTCTCTAAATCGAGAGCAGCAAAGGAGATCCTCACCAGCAGTGGCAGGGGATTCTCCTTTGGCTCCTCTGATCCTTTGCTCCTTCAAACTTTCGCACGCCACCTCTCCTCAGCTGCTCCTCCTCCTCTGATGCATCTCCTTTGCTCCTCCTCCCCTGATGCATCTCATCTGCTCCTCCTCTGCACCACTCCCCCTCCACTGCAGCACCACTCCCCCTCCAGTGCTGCTGCCACTGCTGGTGTCACTGCTGGCCTTCTCATTCTGCATTGATGTCGTCATCTTTCTGATCGCACTGTTGCTGCCACCGGTAGTGTCGCCGCATGCCTCTCCCCTACTCCCACCGCTGGTGTCACTGCGGGTGCCACCTCCAATGCAGCAGCAGCAGCACCACCTCCCAACGCAGCAGCAGCACCACTCCCCCTTCAGCAGCAGCGCCACTCCACCACTTCACAGCACCAGCAGCAGCACATGCGAGGGAGGTAGGAGCGAGGCAGCACAAGGCAGCAAAAGGTAGGTACAGCTCGCACCTTGCTGCAGCCAACTCTGGCCCCTTCTCTGCTCCTCTGCACTTTTCACCTGCTCATCACCTCTCCTGCAGTGGCCTTCTCTTCTGCACACGGGAGGGAGGCAGCATCATTTTCTCCCACTGCTGCTCCTCTGCTCCTCTGCAGTAGCACACGGGAAGGGTGGCCTTCTCTTCTGCTGACATTGCTGCTACCACTGCTTGCATTCCCTTCTGCTGCCACGGCTGCTGAAACCAGTAATGTCCCACTGCAGACCTCTCTTCACTGCAGACCTCTCTTCTGCTCCCACTGCTATTGCGGGCCTCTCTTCTGCTCTGCTCACTGTCCCATCACTTCACAGCACCAGCAGCGGCACGCGGGAGGGAGGTAGGAGCGAGGAAGGTAGCAGCTGCCGTCCCATCACTTCACAGCACCAGCAGCATTGCAGCTGTGTGGTTCTCTGCGCCTCTGCTCCTTGGCCTTCTTCCCTCCATGCCTTCTCCTCCGTAAATTCTTATTCTACGTACTACGTCATCAGATTCAACAGTTAACATCTCTTGTAATGTGAAAGCAGTTCCAAAAGCTTGAAATGTCAAGCATTCCATCTCTCTTGGTCTTTGACAATCACAATGGGACTTACCACCAAGAGGATGCTGTGTAACTAAGCTATCGGCCGTTATAGCTTAGTTACACAGCAACCTCATGGTGGTAAGTCTCATTTTGGTGGTCAAAGGTTTGAAGAGATGGAATGCTGGGCATTACAAGCTTATGGAGTTGCTTACGCATAAAAAGAGATGTTGACTGTAGAATCTGATGACGTAGCAGGTAGAATCTGAATTTACGAGGTGAAGTGTTGTGGCCGGCTCAAGTGTTTGACGTCCGCACATTAAGTCTTGACGTCGGCACTTCATGCTTAGCGTCGGCGCTTCAACTCTCCACAAGAGGTCGCCAACAGGTCTGCTCCTCTGCTCTATTCGCCTGCTCATCACCTCTCCTGCAGTGGCCTCCTCTCCCAGCAGGTGCCAGTCGTCCCCTCTGCTCCTCTCCCAGCAGGTGCCAGTCGTCCCCTCTGCTCCTCTCCCAGCCGGGAATCCTCTCCCAGCCCATTCTCACTGGCAGTGGCAATGGCCGGGAATCCTCCTTCGCCTCCGCTGCTCCTCTCCCAGCAGGTGCCAGCCGTCTCCTCTGCTCCTCAGGAGTAGCACACGGGAGGGAGGCAGCATCATTTTCTCCCGCTGCTGCTCCTCTGCTCCTCTGCAGCAGTAGCACACAGGAAGGGTGGCCTTGTCTTCTGCTGACTCTGCTGCTGCCACTGCTGGTACCACTGCTTGCATTCCCTTCTGCTGCCACTGCTGGTACCACTGCTTGCATTCCCTTCTGCTGCCACTGCTGGTACCATTGCTTGCATTCCCTTCTGCTGCCACTGCTGGTACCACTGCATGCATTCCCTTCTGCTGCCACGCCTGCTGAAACCAGTAATGTCACTGCGGGCCTCTCTTCTGCTCCCACTGCTGCTGCCACCGCTGGTCCCACTGCGGGCCTCTCTTCTGCTCGCTGTCCCATCACTTCACAGCACCAGCAGCAGCACGCGGGAGGGAGGTGGGAGCGAGGAAGGTAGCAGCACCATCACTTCCCCTCCTCTGATGCATCTCCTCCTCCTCTGATGCATCTCCTCCTCCTCTGATGCATCTCCTCCTCCTCCTCCTCCGTCTCCTCTGCTCCTCTGGAGTAGCACACGGGAGGGAGGCAGCATCACTTTATCCCGCTGCTGCTCCTCTGCTCCTCTGCAGTAGCACACAGGAAGGGTGGCCTTCTCTTCTGCTGACACTGCTGCTGCCACTGCTGGTACCACTGCTTGCATTCCCTTCTGCTGCCACTGCTGGTACCACTGCTTGCATTCCCTTCTGCTGCCACTGCTGGTACCATTGCTTGCATTCCCTTCTGCTGCCACTGCTGGTACCACTGCATGCATTCCCTTCTGCTGCCACGCCTGCTGAAACCAGTAATGTCACTGCGGGCCTCTCTTCTGCTCCCACTGCTGCTGCCACCGCTGGTCCCACTGCGGGCCTCTTTTCTGCTCGCTATCCCATCACTTCACAGCACCAGCAGCAGCACGCGGGAGGGAGGTGGGAGCGAGGAAGGTAGCAGCACCATCACTTCCCCTCCTCTGATGCATCTCCTCCTCCTCTGATGCATCTCCTCCTCCTCTGATGCATCTCCTCCTCCTCTGATGCATCTCCTCCTCCTCTGATGCATCTCCTCCTCCTCCTCCTCCTCCTCCTCCGTCTCCTCTGCTCCTCTGGAGTAGCACACGGGAGGGAGGCAGCATCACTTTCTCCCGCTGCTGCTCCTCTGCTCCTCTGCAGTAGCACACAGGAAGGGTGGCCTTCTCTTCTGCTGACTCTGCTGCTGCCACCGCTGGTACCACTGCATGCATTCCCTTCAGCTGCCACGCCTGCTGAAACCAGTAATGTCTCTGCGGGCCTCTCTTCTGCTCCCACTGCTGCTGCCACCACTGGTCCTACTGGGGGCCTCCCTTCTGCTCGCCGTCCCATCACTTCACAGCACCAGCAGCAGCACGCGGGAGGCAGTAACAACTTGCTAGTGTCGATTTCACAGCCGTGCCTGTGTGCCTTCTCCCCTCTGTGCCTTCTATCCTCTCTGCGGCCAGCAGCGTTGGGGGGAATCGCAGCTGCGCGGTTCTCTTCTCCTTTGACCTTCTCCTTCTCCAACGCTCCATGTCTCTCCAACGCTCCATGTCTCTCCAACGCTCCATGTCTCTCCAACGTTCCATGTCTCTCCAACGCTCCATGTCTCTCCAACGCTCCATGTCTCTCCAACGCTCCATGTCTTTCCAACGCTCCATGTCTCTCCAACGCTCCATGTCTCTCCAACGCTCCATGTCTCTCCAACGCTCCATGTCTCTCCAACGCTCCATGTCTCTCCAACGCTCCATGTCTCTCCAACGCTCCATGTCTCTCCAACGCTCCATGCCTCTCCAACGCTTCATGTCTTTCCAACGCTCCATGTCTCTCCAACGCTCCATGTCTCTCCAACGCTCCATGTCTCTCCAACGCTCCATGTCTCTCCAACGCTCCATGTCTCTCCAACGCTGCATGTCTCTCCAACGCTCCATGTCTCTCCAACGCTCCATGTCTCTCCAACGCTCCATGTCTCTCCAACGCTCCATGTCTCTCCAACGCTCCATGTCTCTCCAACGCTCCATGTCTCTCCAACGCTCCATGTCTCTCCAACGCTCCATGTCTCTCCAACGCTCCATGTCTCTCCAACGCTTCATGTCTTTCCAACGCTCCATGTCTCTCCAACGCTCCATGTCTCTCCAACGCTCCATGTCTCTCCAACGCTCCATGTCTCTCCAACGCTCCATGTCTCTCCAACGCTGCATGTCTCTCCAACGCTGCATGTCTCTCCAACGCTCCATGTCTCTCCAACGCTCCATGTCTCTCCAACGCTCCATGTCTCTCCAACGCTCCATGTCTCTCCAACGCTCCATGTCTCTCCAACGCTCCATGTCTCTCCAACGCTTCATGTCTTTCCAACGCTCCATGTCTCTCCAACGCTCCATGTCTCTCCAACGCTCCATGTCTCTCCAACGCTCCATGTCTCTCCAACGCTCCATGTCTCTCCAACGCTGCATGTCTCTCCAACGCTGCATGTCTCTCCAACGCTCCATGTCTCTCCAACGCTCCATGTCTCTCCAACGCTCCATGTCTCTCCAACGCTCCATGTCTCTCCAACGCTTCATGTCTTTCCAACGCTCCATGTCTCTCCAACGCTCCATGTCTCTCCAACGCTCCATGTCTCTCCAACGCTCCATGTCTCTCCAACGCTCCATGTCTCTCCAACGCTCCATGTCTCTCCAACGCTCCATGTCTCTCCAATGCTGCATGTCTCTCCAACGCTCCATGTCTCTCCAACGCTCCATGTCTCTCCAACGCTCCATGTCTCTCCAACGCTCCATGTCTCTCCAACGCTCCATGTCTCTCCAACGCTCCATGTCTCTCCAACGCTCCATGTCTCTCCAACGCTCCATGTCTCTCCAACGCTCCATGTCTCTCCAACGCTTCATGTCTTTCCAACGCTCCATGTCTCTCCAACGCTCCATGTCTCTCCAACGCTCCATGTCTCTCCAACGCTCCATGTCTCTCCAACGCTCCATGTCTCTCCAACGCTCCATGTCTCTCCAACGCTCCATGTCTCTCCAACGCTCCATCTCTCTCCAACGCTGCATGTCTCTCCAACGCTCCATGTCTCTCCAACGCTCCATGTCTCTCCAACGCTCCATGTCTCTCCAACGCTCCATGTCTCTCCAACGCTCCATGTCTCTCCAACGCTCCATGTCTCTCCAACGCTCCATGTCTCTCCAACGCTCCATGTCTCTCCAACGCTTCATGTCTTTCCAACGCTCCATGTCTCTCCAACGCTCCATGTCTCTCCAACGCTCCATGTCTCTCCAACGCTCCATGTCTCTCCAACGCTGCATGTCTCTCCAACGCTGCATGTCTCTCCAACGCTCCATGTCTCTCCAACGCTCCATGTCTCTCCAACGCTCCATGTCTCTCCAACGCTCCATGTCTCTCCAACGCTCCATGCATCTCCAACGCTCCATGTCTCTCCAACGCTGCATGTCTCTCCAACGCTCCATGTCTCTCCAACGCTCCATGTCTCTCCAACGCTCCATGTCTCTCCAACGCTCCATGTCTCTCCAACGCTCCATGTCTCTCCAACGCTCCATGTCTCTCCAACGCTCCATGTCTCTCCAACGCTCCATGTCTTTCCAACGCTCCATGTCTCTCCAACGCTCCATGTCTCTCCAACGCTCCATGTCTCTCCAACGCTCCATGTCTCTCCAACGCTCCATGTCTCTCCAACGCTCCATGTCTCTCCAACGCTCCATGTCTCTCCAACGCTCCATGTCTCTCCAACGCTTCATATCTTTCCAACGCTCCATGTCTCTCCAACGCTCCATGTCTCTCCAACGCTCCATGTCTCTCCAACGCTCCATGTCTCTCCAACGCTGCATGTCTCTCCAACGCTCCATGTCTCTCCAACGCTCCATGTCTCTCCAACGCTCCATGTCTCTCCAACGCTCCATGTCTCTCCAACGCTCCATGTCTCTCCAACGCTCCATGTCTCTCCAACGCTCCATGTCTCTCCAACGCTCCATGTCTCTCCAACGCTCCATGTCTCTCCAACGCTCCATGTCTCTCCAACGCTCCATGTCTCTCCAACGCTCCATGTCTCTCCAACGCTCCATGTCTCTCCAACGCTCCATGTCTCTCCAACGCTGCATGTCTCTCCAACGCTGCATGTCTCTCCAACGCTCCATGTCTCTCCAACGCTCCATGTCTCTCCAACGCTCCATGTCTCTCCAACGCTCCATGTCTCTCCAACGCTCCATGTCTCTCCAACGCTCCATGTCTCTCCAACGCTCCATGTCTCTCCAACGCTCCATGTCTCTCCAACGCTCCATGTCTCTCCAACGCTCCATGTCTCTCCAACGCTCCATGTCTCTCCAACGCTCCATGTCTCTCCAACGCTCCATGTCTCTCCAACGCTCCATGTCTCTCCAACGCTCCATGTCTCTCCAACGCTCCATGTCTCTCCAACGCTCCATGTCTCTCCAACGCTCCATGTCTCTCCAACGCTCCATGTCTCTCCAACGCTCCATGTCTCTCCAACGCTCCATGTCTCTCCAACGCTCCATGTCTCTCCAACGCTTCATGTCTTTCCAACGCTCCATGTCTCTCCAACGCTCCATGTCTCTCCAACGCTCCATGTCTCTCCAACGCTCCATGTCTCTCCAACGCTCCATCTCTCTCCAACGCTGCATGTCTCTCCAACGCTGCATGTCTCTCCAACGCTCCATGTCTCTCCAACGCTCCATGTCTCTCCAACGCTCCATGTCTCTCCAACGCTCCATGTCTCTCCAACGCTCCATGTCTCTCCAACGCTCCATGTCTCTCCAACGCTCCATGTCTCTCCAACGCTCCATGTCTCTCCAACGCTCCATGTCTTTCCAACGCTCCATGTCTCTCCAACGCTCCATGTCTCTCCAACGCTCCATGTCTCTCCAACGCTCCATGTCTCTCCAACGCTCCATGTCTCTCCAACGCTCCATGTCTCTCCAACGCTCCATGTCTCTCCAACGCTCCATGTCTCTCCAACGCTCCATGTCTCTCCAACGCTCCATGTCTCTCAGCTCCTCCTCCTCTGATGCATCTCCTCCTCCTCCTCTGCTTCATCTCCTTCTCCTCGGATGCATCTCCTCTGCTCCACATCCTGCAAAATGGGAAAAAAAAGTCTGTGAGCTCATTGAACGAATTGCACCCAGAGGTTGCTCATTGTGCCAAGAAGTGATTCCGACGAGAAAGGCGATCCTCACCGGCAGTGGCAGGGGATTCTCCTTTGCCTCCTCCAATGCACGCCTCCTCTCCTCAGCTCCTCCTCCTCCTCTGCTCTATTCACCTGCTCATCACCTCTCCTGCAGTGGAGTCCTATCCCAGCAGGTGCCAGCAGTAGCACACAGGAGGGAGGCAGCATCATCTTCTCCCACTGCTGCTCCTCTGTTCCTCTGCAGTAGCACACAGGAAGGGAGGCAGCATCACCTCTCCTGCAGTGGACTCCTCTCCCAGCAGGTGCCAGTCGTCTCCTCTGCTCCTCTGCAGCAGCACATGGGAGGGAGGCAGCATCATTTTCTCCCACTTCTGCTCCTCTGCTCCTCAGCAGTAGCACACGGGAAGAGTGGCCTTCTCTTCTGCTGACACTGCTGCTCCCACCGCTGGTACCACTGCTTGCATTCCCTTCTGCTGCCACGCCTGCTGAAACCAGTAACGTCACTGCGGGCCTCTCTTCTGCTCCCACTGCTGCTGCCACCGCTGGTCCCACTGCGGGCCTCTCTTCTGCTCGCTGTTCCATCACTTCACAGCACCAGCAGCAGCACGCGGGAGGGAGGTAGGAGCGAGGAAGGTAGCAGCTGCCGTCCCATCACTTCACAGCACCAGCAGCAGCATGTGGGAGGGAGGTAGGAGCGAGGAAGGTAGCAGCTGCCGTCCCATCACTTCACAGCACCAGCAGCAGCATGTGGGAGGGAGGTAGGAGCGAGGAAGGTAGCAGCTGCCGTCCCATCACTTCACAGCGCCAGCAGCAGCGCGCGGGAGGGAGGTAGGAGTGAGGAAGGTAGCAGCTGCCGTCCCATCACTTCACAGCGCCAGCAGCAGCACGCGGGAGGGAGGTAGGAGCGAGGAAGGTAGCAGCTGCCGTCCCATCACTTCACAGCACCAGCAGCAGCATGTGGGAGGGAGGTAGGAGCGAGGAAGGTAGCAGCTGCCGTCCCATCACTTCACAGCGCCAGCAGCAGCACGCGGGAGGGAGGTAGGAGTGAGGAAGGTAGCAGCTGCCGTCCCATCACTTCACAGCGCCAGCAGCAGCACGCGGGAGGGAGGTAGGAGCGAGGAAGGTAGCAGCTGCCGTCCCATCACTTCACAGCACCAGCAGCAGCACGTGGGAGGGAGGTAGGAGCGAGGAAGGTAGCAGCTTCCGTCCCATCACTTCACAGCACCAGCAGCATTACTGCTGTGTAGTTCTCTGCGCCTCTGCTCCATTGGCCTTCTTCCCTCCATTGGCCTTCTTCTCTTCTCTCTGCTCCATGTCTCTCCAATGCTGCATCTTTGTTCCTCTTCTCCACCTCCTTTGCCTCTCCTTCCTCTCCTCTGCTGGTTCGCCTCCCCTTCTGCTGCTGCAACCAGTAATGTCACTGCGGGCCTCCTCGCCTCCTCTCCTCCTCGCCTCCTCTCCTCCTCGCCTCCTCTCCTCCTCGCCTCCTCTCCTCCCCGCCTCCTCGCCTCCGTCTCCTCCGATGCATCTCCTGCAGAATGGGAAGGAAAGGAAAATTCTATGAGCCCAATTTTCACAGTGGCATTCATACAAGCAACGCAACGTTACCCAAGAGAATTGCACGGATTGGGCAACAAAAGTGCAGAACAACAAAAGAAACATTTGCAGAGGCAGTTTTAATTCACCACACACGCTCCGCTGCTCCTTACCTCCTCTGCTATACTCCTCCTCTGCGCCGCTGCTCCACGCCTACTCTCCTCCGCGCCTCCTCTCCTCTGCGCCTCCTCTCCTCAGCGCCTCCTCTCCTCCACGCCTCCTCTGCTCCACGCCCCCTCTCCTCCTCTCCTCCACGCGTCTTGAAGTCTCGCGGCTGTCTGAAACGGGAAGCAACAACGACATTAGTACGTGTGGAAAACAGAAAGCAGAAACTTGGAGAGCACTTACCGAGGGGGCTGGAGGCGTCGTGAAGTCCCGCGGCTGTCTGAAACGGGAAGCAACAACGACATTAGTACGTGTGGAAAACAGAAAGCAGAAACTTGGAGAGCACTTACCGAGGGGGCTGGAGGCGTCGTGAAGTCCCGCGGCTGTCTGAAACGGGAAGCAACAACGACATTAGTACGTGTGGAAAACAGAAAGCAGAAACTTGAAGAGCACTTACCGAGGGGGCTGGAGGCGTCGTGAAGTCCCGCGGCTGTCTGAAACGGGAAGCAACAACGACATTAGTACGTGTGGAAAACAGAAAGCAGAAACTTGGAGAGCACTTACCGAGGGGGCTGGAGACGTCGTGAAGTCCCGCGGCTGACTGAAACGGGAAGCAACAACGACATTAGTACGTGTGGAAAACTGAAAGCAGAAACTTGGAGAGCACTTACCGAGGGGGCTGGAGGCGTCGTGAAGTCCCGCGGCTGTCTGAAACGGGAAGCAACAACGACATTAATACGTGTGGAAAACAGAAAGCAGAAACTTGGAGAGCACTTACCGAGGGGGCTGGAGGCGTCGTGGAGTCCCGCGGCTGTCTGAAACGGGAAGCAACAACGACATTAGTACGTGTGGAAAACAGAAAGCAGAAACTTGGAGAGCACTTACCGAGGGGGCTGGAGGCGCCGTGGAGTCCCGCGGCTGTCTGAAACGGGAAGCAACAACGACATTAGTACGTGTGGAAAACAGAAAGCAGAGATGGAAGATAGCTCACCGAGGGGGCTGGAGCGTTGTTGATGTCTTCGTGACGGCTAGGACAAGAAGACACACACATAACAACATTAGGCATGCGACGACACACGAAAGCAAAGAAGACTGCAGCTTACAACGGGTCCTAGCTGCTGCGTCCCCGTGTTGCTCCCCCCTTGGTGTTGCCTCCCCCGTTCTTGCTGTACCTAGAAGAGGGGCGGCACAGAAATTATATTTTGAAGGGAGGTGCTGCTCCTCCTCCCGCTGCTCCTCGTGTTGATCCTTTGCCCCCCAGGGGGTCAAAGCGCCTCACTTGAAGGTGCTGCTCCTCGTGTTGATCCTTTGCCCCCCAGGGGGTCAAAGCGCCTCACTTGAAGGTGCTGCTCCTCGTGTTGATCCTTTGCCCCCCAGGGGGTCAAAGCGCCTCACTTGAAGGTGCTGCTCCTCCTCCCGCTGCTCCTCGTGTTGATCCTTTGCCCCCCAGGGGGTCAAAGCGCCTCACTTGAAGGTGCTGCTCCTCGTGTTGATCCTTTGCCCCCCAGGGGGTCAAAGCGCCTCACTTGAAGGTGCTGCTCCTCGTGTTGATCCTTTGCCCCCCAGGGGGTCAAAGCGCCTCACTTGAAGGTGCTGCTCTTCGTGTTGATCCTTTGCCCCCCAGGGGGTCAAAGCGCCTCACTTGAAGGTGCTGCTCCTCGTGTTGATCCTTTGCCCCCCAGGGGGGCAAAGCGCCTCACTTGAAGCTCCACCTCCTCCAATCCTTTTCCGTCCTTGCTGCTCCGGTAATGCTTCAGGACCAGCTGTGCAATTTTGCTCACTGCAACGCTTGCAGTGAGGAACATGCAAAAGAGTTTTGAGAAACCCTGCTTTTGAGAAATCACTTCAGCTAAGCTGCAGTGAGAAGGAAGAGAGAGAAAGAGTGAGTGAGTTTCGAGATGTCTCTCAAAAACTCACTCAGAAAAGAAAAGAGAGGAGGAACGGAACACTGCAGTGCACTGCAGGACACAACAAAACTGGATTTGAGGCGCCTCAAACCAGCAAACGAGGTCCTCAAACCTCACATTCACTCTGACTCACTCTCACTGACCCTCACTCTCACTCTCACCCTCGCTCTCCCCTCACTCTCCTCTCACCCTCGCTCTCTTCTCACTCTCCTCTCACTCTCGCTCTCCTCACGTCCTCTCTATGCTCCTCCCAGCAGGTCCCAGCCGTCTCCTTCCGCTGCTGCTGCTGCTGCTCCCCGCTGCTGTTGCTGCCACCGCTGCTGCTGCTGTAAACCCAGGTGTCACTGCGGGCACCGCTCCAACACAGCAGCACCGCCTCCAACACAGCAGCACCGCCTCCAACACAGCAGCGCCGCCTCCAACACAGCAGCACCGCTCCAACACAGCAGCGCCGCCTCCAACACAGCAGCACCGCTCCAACACAGCAGCACCTCCTCCAACACAGCAGCACCGCTCCAACACAGCAGCACCGCTCCAACACAGCAGCACCGCCTCCAACACAGCAGCACCGCTCCAACACAGCAGCACCGCCTCAAACACAGCAGCACCGCTCCAACACAGCAGCACCGCTCCAACACAGCAGCACCGCCTCCAACACAGCAGCACCGCTCCAACACAGCAGCACCGCCTCCAACACAGCAGCACCGCTCCAACACAGCAGCACCACACCATCGCAGTAGCACCCTTCCACCCCCAATGCCGCACCAATGCCAATCAATGTCATGCTTCCAAGGACGCAGCACCGCTTCAACGCAGCAGCACCGCCGTCAGTCAACGCAGCAGCTTATCCCGCCATTTCCAACGCCATGATGCTTGGCCATGCTTCAGCGACAGCACGAAAGCTTCTATGGACGCGACGCAGCAGTCAGCCATCTCCTCTCGCCAGGGCTTCTTCAGTGCCTGCCTGCACGGACGCAGCAGCACCGCTCCTGCTCCTGCTCGGTTCATGGCATACCAGGAAACCAGCACCCGCTCCCGCTCCTGCTCTTGGCGTTGGTTCGTTCGTTGCTCTTGGCGAGAGGCAGTGCAATCTCCTCCGCTCCAGCAGTCAGGAGACCCGCTCTCGCTTCTGCACGGACGGACGGAGACAGGAGTGAGAAACGCCATGACAGGGAAACGGGAAATTCGCCAGATTGCGTTAAACGAAACGCGATCGCCAAGAGAGCAGCGAAATAGCGATTGAAATAGATCGGGAAGATATCCAGCGTTTGGGGTAGGAGTGGACGAAAAACTCACCACAACCGGACGAAAGCGGCGAAAATGATTTGGAGCTTGGACGAAAGCTCCTCCGTAGTAGCGGCGCGAGCGTCGCCGCATTCGCGACCACGAAAAGGCGCCTTCGTTGCTCGCGCATCGTCGACTCAACGTCGCGCCGCGAGCGTCGCACGGTCGCCGCGAGTGTTGTACGGTCGTCGCACGGTCGTTGCGAGTGTCGTACAGTCGTCGCACGGTCGTCGCGAGCGTCGCACGGTCGTCGCGAGTGTCGTACGGTGGTCGCAAAGCTCCTCCGCGAGCCAATCCGCCGTCGTGAGCGTCGACGTATCGACGAGCGGATCCTCGTCCTCCTCCGCAGTCCTTCGCGAGCGTCGACGACCTAGCAAGCTCTTCCAAATCATTTCTCCGTCAAGAAACTCGCGAGCTTGGTCAGAGGATCCGCGCCGACGTCACGAAGAGCTTGCAGGGAGCTATCCAGCCGTCGAAATCTCTTCCATCAAGCATCCACGAGGTTCGCGAGCGTCGCGGAATTTCGACGTCGGACGTTAGTAGTGGTTGAAAGCGGTGCTCGACATCAGCGTATTCTGCGTCGGACGTCGCGTCGTCGCCTTTGTTACCGTCGCGGGCGACTCGGAATGAATGGCTATGCATGCTGCGAGATTCGAATACTGTATGGTGCTGTATGAAACTACTCCTTCCATCGCAGCGCCGTCGAGCTACTACGCGAGCGATGCAGGTCGTTAAGTCGCACAAGCAGCGTTGAGCAAGTCGCATAAGGCGATTCACAAGTGAGATGATGCCTTGAACTTCGCGACAAGGATGGCACGGATTCGTGACCTTCAGGAACATGTCGCATCATGTCGCGTCTGGTCGCATCATGTCATGTCGTCGCTTCACGTTGTTAAGTTTTGTCGCGGATTCACGAGGTTAAGAGCTCACGTAGATTCATGGAAGAACTTGGATCTCGCGACTCGCGAACTCCATCACACCGAAGATGATTCGACTAAGCTGCTGTAATAAGGAGCTGAGAATCTCATAAGAGCTTGGATCTCACGTAAAGAGAAATGAATCCGCCATTCTGCACCTGACGGTCATCTGATTGCAACTGATTGTGAGAGTAAGCTCTCGTACTAGTATCTTCCTGCGTAACTTAAGATTTTACGCTCTAAAGCTTCTACTAATAACCTCCTGACCTTGAGATTTACGCGCTTCGGTAAGAGTCAACGCAGGATAATTTCCTCCACGGTACAGCTAATCCAGGAAGCCATGGATTGCAGTCAATCGAGTTTGCTAACTCACGGAACATTCCCTCTGGAGAATGCCTGGAGAATGGCTCTGCATGGAGAATGCCTGAGAGGGATTCAGTGAAGGTGGACCAAGCGATGGGAAAGGAGAAGGTCCAGTACGGTGAAGAAAGTTTTGGAAAGGTGACAAAGGCTAAAGAGAGATTACAGAAAGGTGAGATGCGGTGAGGCAAGGTGCGGTGGGGTGATGGTAATAGAGAGGTGATAGCGATACGGCTGAACGGCAAGAGCCGCAAGTCGAGTCGCCTCGCGAAGTGCCCTCCCTTCCACCGAAGGCGAAAAGGGGGTGGGGGGAGTTCCCGTTTCGGCAAGCTCGAGGCGCAATCTGTTGCAAAGTTCGCTAGAGAGTTGCGCTGACTGGATGGAATCCGCGGATAAGCCTGCCGACGATCTGAGCTGAAGGCGGGGAAAGGCGGAAAGTGGTTTGAGTCAGTGGGGAAAGGACGGCATGTTCGCGGGCAAAAGCAACCGTGTGCGAAAGTATGAAGACTGAGCGAGATCCAAAACACCGTGGATGCGGATGATCTGACGGCTGAGCACAGCTTTCTGGGGTGGTATGTTATGGATGGTATGGTAAGTTACCACCAATCAGATGACTGCCTCGAGATCCTATGGATGGGAGTTTGTCATGGCCCGAGCCGCCATGACATGTGAATGATGAGTTGAACTGGTGGTGTCAGACGACGAATTCAAATTGAGTCGCTCAAGTCCATCATCATTCAGGCAAGTTGCAGCTTTCATCCGCGTCTTGAATTTACTGTAACAAAAATATGGCTGGTTACATCCTATTATCCTAGTAAATACTTACTACCATCCTTTCCACTAGTCACACATTTGCCATTACACCTGTGATATTATCTCAAAATTTTAGATAATTCACTTCTCGGGAAACAAATGCACTAAATTGAGCGTAGCTAACGGTAGTATGGGGGGTTCTTTTCTCAAATCCTATATTTGCTTTTATATTCCTCGAAGTCCCCCATTATTGGAAGTCTAGTAAAATGTTAGGCACCATGACTCCACTCACTCCATGCACCACCATGTGTGCATCCGTGTAGAGGTCTGGCAGCACCACTCGTACACTCCCCTGTGCTCCCAACAGTGGCTTGCCCAGCACGATACCCTCCCCTTCCACCTTCTCCATCTCCATCTCCTCAAACCCTGTTGTGAACTGCATGGGCACCAGAGGTTGGGGGGAGGGGGTAAAAAGGGGGGTTCGGAAAAAGGGGGAGAGAGAGGCTTGTGAAGGGTGATGGAATGAGAGGGAGTGGCTGGGGAAGGGAGAGGGGGTGGCTGGGGAAGGGAGAGGGGGTGGCTGGGGAAGGGAGAGGGGGTGGCTGGGGAAAGGGGGGGTGGGGCTGGGTGACGGAGATGGGGAGAGAGCAAGGGCTGAGGAATGGAGGAATATATTAGGCGAGAGAGAGTATTGAACGAGCAAAAAGTGCCAGCAAGTCTATTGGTGCAAACATTACACCAGGAATGCCGGTGGTGCGATGCGTGCACGAGCGGAACACCACCGACACCCCATGTCATTCACATTTCCATGGGTTCCCAAATTCACAACAGCCAGTCAGCGTGCCTCAGAGCACCAATGAGCACCAAATTTACATTTCCACTGTCAGCGTGCCTCAGTGCACGAAGCTGAGACGCAGTGCATGCCACATGCCAACAGAGGCACACTACCAGCCAGAGGAAGCCCAGCAGGCACGCACCAGTGAGCCCGCCGGCAAGTCTGCCAGCTGAGCACACCAGTGCATGATGCTGGCGCGGTTCACACCAGAACCAAGGAAAGGCACGCACCAGTGAGCATGCACGCACCAGTGAGCATGCACGCACCAGTGAGCCTGCCGGCAAGTCTGCCAGCTGAGCGGGCGAAAGCTTTCGGCCGAGAGTGTGAGCACCCGGCGCGTGACGGGCGGCAGGGAGGTGTTGCATTCCGAGCAAACGTGCGGGATGTGAGAAAGGGGGAGGGGGTAAAAAGGGGGGTTCGGAAAAAGGGGGAGAGAGAGGCAAGGGGGGAGGGGGAAAAGACGGCAGGGGAAGTGATGAGGACAATGGGCGCTTTTAAAACGTACAAAATGAAGAAAGGATCTGCAGGAAGAAACGTGTAATATGTATGTTACCTCGCTCGTTAGAAAAACTGCCCTGAGAACAAAATATAGGCCCGCTGATTCGTAATCGGAGCTTAACGGAGAAGCAGGGAGCTTTGCGCCGAGACTAGCAGCGTGAGCCGACGAAGCATGGCATGCACGCACCACTGATCCTACCATTGATAGCATGATGTTGACTTCTGAGCGGAGGAGGGGAGGAAGCAGGAAAGCAGGAAAGCAGGGATGCAGGAAAGCAGGGAATGCATGAGACAAAGCAGGGAATATCGCGAAAGCAGGAAGGAGAAGGAGGGAGAGGAAGAAGGGGGGGAGGGAACGTTAACGCTTTAAGGATAGAAATTTCAGACATTGGAGCACACATAGCAACATTTTGACTGGTAGACTCACAGTGTTCCTTCGTAAAAAAAAGGAGCATCGCGCGTCGCTACCACACGTTAGATAGGGTCGACCGCTGATGGTTCCGAATCTCACGGGATCGTTTCACCAGCAGCGTGAGAGCCATTTTCCCGTGAGCCGCTTCCGCGTCGACTCTTGTAACGAGTAATAGCCAGCGTCCGATCGTCAGCGTGTATCCTTGTAACTAATGCGCGTAATCTGTACTCTCGCGTGCGCCGCGAGGAGAGGACATGCGCGTAATCTGTACTCTCGCGTGCGCCGCGAGGAGAGGACATGCGCACTGAGGCTAGAGGAGTCGCCGAAGACATGATCGGTCCTAGTGCCTATCAAATATCCGTAACTAGGATTGCCAGGACATGATCAGGATATCCAGAGAAGTAGCCGACACTGACGCAGCGCGACGTTCGAATCTACTAAAGCAATCGCAGGGAAGTCTCGAATTGACAACGGCGCGTTCGAATTTACTAAAGCCGTCGCAGGGATAGCCAATTTTGGAGCGGTGACTACGGCGCGAATCTGTATAATCGCGATGGATCCATTTTATGCGAATGTGCGCGGAGAGGAGATGAGCACCGACAAGGGATGGCGGGCTTCCACTAAATCAGAGCGATTCCGCTATCAGTAGTACAACAATGATCATGATCGCGCCGATGATTTCAGTGACTGAAATCTCGCATTGACTATGGAGTGGCGCGGCGCGGTTACGGGAAAGAAAGTGCATAATTGCTATACAATATGAAAATCCATAATGATCATTAATAATATGGAAGTTATACTAGAACGTTCTACATCTATCAGAATGTTCTACAGCTACTAGAAAGTTCCATATATACCACTACAGAGCTCTATATCTACTAAAAAGTTTCATACCTACTCGCAGTTCCATACAGTGCCTACTCAAAGTTCCATGTCTACTAATTGAGAACTAGATATTAAAAAATTTTGGGTTGCGGAGCAACCTATTGCAATCGACCAGAAGGAAATTTATTTTTCGGGGTATTTTTGTATTTTCCCCAAACTCTAAAAAATCTACACGTTTTTTCTCAGATTATCCTCTAATCTTAATATTCATGTTCTTCACATGTTCAAATCATTAAAAATCTTGATCACTATGTTAAAACCTGATCACTATGTTATCATTTTGATCTTTAAAAGCAATTCGTAGTTGCAGACCTTCAGAGTTTACAGTTTAAGTGGAGAAATATACCGATCGAGCAAAACGATCATTATATTTCTGTTCCATCTCTGATGAGTTCACAACACAACAGAGACGAATGTATTTATCGATAAAATCGATGAATACATGTCGAAAGTTTTAAGTTTCAAGTTCTACGAAAAATCGATATTTATGCTACCGCTTCCCCAGCCTAGCATGGGGGGGAAGATACGGCAGTATAAACGTTCTATGAATAACATGACATGAAGCAATACAATGTGCAAATCCCAAAGAAAAAACTACACCGATCAAGTCCAGCTCAAAATAGCTTCACTGTCATAGTGGTGCACCACTGAGCCTTATTTGACGATGACCGATGAGTTTTCTCTTTGAAACATGCAGACATGCATTACCAGTGAGATGAAAAGCAGCAGATGATAAACATAAGAAAATATGCAAGAAATCTAATAATTAAGAGCAGTTAAACTATTGCTCTATTGGTTGTATCCTCCTTTCCATCCCACCTACGGTATACCAGAATCTGCATTAAAAGGGCAAGGCATAACAAACACAGAACACACGTGTGGAAGGAAGAATAAGAAGGGAAGAGGAAAAAGAGAGAAACCAAAGACAAAACTAAAACCAGAAAACAAAAAAGAAAAAATGGTTTTGTTGGAGCAAAACTGACTGGAAATGAGGAAAACGACAGAGACAGAAGCAAACAAATGATTATGCGACAGAAGAACGGGCAGAAAACAAGATAAGAAACAGGCATGAAAATATTACATTAGAAGAAAAGAGAAACTGACACGAAAATGAGATCGGACATCAAAATCCAAGAAGTATGAAGGAATAAGAAGAAATGGACAGAAGCGAAGGAGGAAACACGGAGAAGCGTAAGAAAGTATAAGGAATCAAGATCTAAAGAAGAAGGATTAAGAAAAGAGGAACGCTCAGAATAAAGTGGTAAGAGAGGTAATAGAGTGAATAAGGAAGTCACAGACAGAAAAGGGAGGTGGACGGGAGAATAGAGGATGGGAGAAAATCTAAGAAAGGTTGAAATTTAAGCACACTACGCTAAAGGAAACATCCACACACAAATAAGAGCCAATACCGGATGCTAGAGTAAGGATACGTAAATCGGGATAAAAGAGAATACGGGCAACAAGATCTACGGTAGTAAGTAGTGAAATAAAAACATAGTTTCCCTAAGCTTTCACAAAACCTAGAACTAAATCTCTCTGTTAGGAACTGAAGTAGAAATTCATAACAATTAACTCGAAAAACAAAGAGCGACAGCGATTGAAACGAAAGGAAGGAGTAGGGTGGAGAAAGAACGCTAAGACAACGACGTCAGTTGAAAGAAAAGCATATGAAAGAGATGAGTTAACGGTCAAATAAGCTCACCTTAGAACTTGGAGTGAAGGGTTGTAGATGGAGATACGGTAGAAGCCACTTCTAGCTGGAGATAGTAGTTGAAGGAGACCCACTAGATGAAGTGGGTGGAATAGCAGGAGCAAACGAAACAAGCGGGAAAAGAACAAGAAATAAAGCATCAAATAACACAAAGGCAAAAAACAGAGCATGAAGGAACGGACGTGAAGGGATGAAAAAGAGATAGCAAAAATGAAGGACGCGCGAATCATACGAGAAGTAGGAACGGAGGACAAAGGAAGAAAGAGAACAGACTACTGAGTAAGGAGTCTAGAAATAAGAAACGGTAAAACATGGGCGAGATTGAAGTTCTAGCAAGAATGATAAGTAAGCGGCAGAACGAGAGAGATCTAGGGGAGCAAGAGTACAAGGAGAAGACTAACATACTCCTAAAATGAAGTTCAAGTGGCTAATATCCATTTATACCTATGAAAAACGGCGTACCAGCTTGCACGAGAGAAGAGCCACGAAGGAACGAGACTCGAGTGGCGAGAGGAAGGAAAAGGAGAAAATGATACCCTAGCAATGGAGATTCGTCCCAAAAACACAATTTTGGACAACACAAACCTCTTCCATCAAAAAGCTGTCATGACGTAGTGGTGAGAGACTTTGTGTGGGAACGAAAGGTTGGTAGCTCGAATCCTTACATGCTCCTTTTGCATGTGAGTTTCATACTTGGTACTAGAGGTGATGCATAATCAGGTAATAATGAAAAAACGAGTTACATACTTAGTATTACAGTTGTATAAAATATGTTGTTTATGCAAAACGCTCCGCAACCCTAAGACGATTTCGTCGCCTCTTGTTTTTTTTTTTTTTTTTTTTTTTTTTTTTTTTTTTTTTTTTTTTTTTTTTTTAGTGAAAGCTTACACAACAGGTGCACAAGCAAAACACTTCAGTCGTAACTGATTCTGCGGGCTCAAACCAGGTGGTGTACCCGGCCCTCCCTGCGAACCTACGGCGGTTTCACGAAAGTTCTCGGGTTCGACCAGATTGACTGGAAGTCCCCGTGCCACCTCAGACCCACTGCCATGCTGTCGCAAATTCTCCTCGTCACGCATGCTTCGTCATCTGCCAGATTCCAACGTGCCTTATCTTTCCGAGCCTGCTTACTTGGCCTACTACAGTAAACCCGCGCGTGTTTGTTGAACTCCACGTTTATTCTCCGGAGCACCTTCCGAGCCTGGAGCCTCTTGACCTTTTTGAGCGACACATCACATCTCCCCAGCCAGATCTGGTGCACCGCTATCGCCATCATAGTCGTTTCCGGAAAACCGGACTTCGTCTCCTCCGCCCCGAACAACAGGCCTGCCAGGTCATCCACGTGCCTCCCTGGCTGCATCATGCATAATGCCGACTTGACCGCAGCCACCACCGGCAGGATGTGGGGGCACTCCAACAGGCAATGCTCCAAGGTCTCTGTTCCGCCACAGTGCGGACACGTCACCCCGCCGCCCAAGAAATAGACCCTCTCCCCCACCTGGAGGTTAAGATTCTGCACCCTTAGTAGGACGTCTCTCGCCCGTGCCGGGACAGCGAGGGAGTCCCTTACCCTCCTCCCCCGTTCCCAGTCGATGCTCCTTCCCGCCCTCGCTTCCCACTTTGCCCGTTTTTCCGCCACAGCTTCCGCCCCTTTGCTTGGCTCCCTGAGTTTCTTCAGCGGAACCACCTCCTTCCCGTCAAACAATTCTGACAACAGCAGCCTTACCCTGGGGTCACCTGCATCCCCCACCACACGCCCCTGGTCGAGCCTCACTGGGGTTACACTTTCACAGCGCAATTCCACTCTAATGTTCCACGCAACACGTTCCCCACTGCCGTTCAGGGCTTGCAGCCCTACCCTTCTGCCGTTGGTCCCGCACACCTCCCAGAGGCACCTTTTCTGACTCGGTAGCGTGGTGCTTACCACCGACGAGACGCCCTTAATCTCCTCCGCCGTTAACGGGGCAAGCAACCACTCCCTCCACTGCGCCGGGGCCGCATGAAAAGCCTTGAGTGCCATCTCCGCGCTCTTCTTGTCGCCCAGCTCCCGGGCCAGCTCATCCTCTGTTTTTACGAGTATCGTGCCATCCCACTTTTGCACTATCATGTCCTGCATCCGCCACTTCCGTATCAGCTCCGTCCCCTTCTGACCTCCAAACGGGGCCTTCCCACGGTGCGGAATACTGCTGTTGAAACACAGATACTCCCCCGCCACATCCCAACGTGAGGCCGGACCAGGTACTGTCACCGCCGACGATTTCAACACTGTCTTGCAAAGCTTAGCCCATCTCCTGCTCCGAAACAAACCCCCCCTTAACACCGCCTTGTGCGCATACAGTGTAGCCCACCCCAATGGCAGGTCAGCAGCATTCTCCGTCACCCCTCTTCTGAGCGGACACTCCTGAAGCAACGCCAAGCCCACACACCGCAGAGCAACACTGTCAACTCTCCCCCTCGGGTCGACCACTCCCAGCCCACCCTGTTCCCTTGGCGCGTAGATCAGATCCCCACTCCATAACCTGAAATGTCTCTCCGTATCCGCGTGGTTCCCTGACACGAAATTCTCTATCAGTGTTTCCACCCTTTTCCACAGCAGTTCCTCCGGCGGGTACACCTGGGCCTGAAAGATGAACACCGGCAGCACGTAGCTGTTGATGATCGTCACCCGCGCGCCCGTCGTGAGATACTTGCTGTGCCACTTGCTTAGCTCCCCCGCTGCTTTGTCAAATGCCTTCTCCCACGTGATCTCCCCGTTCCCACCTGGCGTAATCCAGACACCCAGCAGCCTTTCCGCTACATCTTTCTTCACCCACTTAAATTCCGTTCCGTCCGGCGCGCTTTTGTCCACGTTGCACCCCAGTGGCAGGAGCGCAGACTTCCCCTTATTAACTTTCAGGCCTGACGCATCTGCGAAGTCCTTCAACACCTGCTCCGCTTCCTTCAGCTGATGCTCACCGTCTAGCAGCAACGTTGTGTCATCTGCGTACCCGATGTACGCCAGCCGCTCGCAACCTTCCTCTCCTATCCCCAGTTTCCGTTCCTCCACCAAGCGGCTTAGCGGCTCCACCGCGCACAAGAAAAGGTAAGGGGCCAGCGGGCACCCTTGCCTCACCCCTTTACGCATTTGAATTTTTTCACCCACCCAACCGTTGATGCACAGTCGCGTGTGAACGTCCTTGTGCAGTGCCTCGATCCAGCCCACAAACCGCGGTGGAAATCCCAGCTTCGCTATTGTCTCCAGCATGAAATCCCGACGCACCGAGTCGTATGCCTTCTCAAAATCAATCAGCAGGAGGTACCAGTCCCTGTTCTTGTTCTTGGCCGCATCAATTATATCCGCTACCAGCGACACCGCATCCGTAAGTCTCTTCCCTGGCAGGAAGCCGTACTGCTCCCCTGAAATCACTTGGGTAAGAACCTTTTTCATCCTTGAAGCCACCACCTTCGCCAGTATCTTATACGTGCTTGTTAGCAGGGTTATCGGTCTGTAGTTCCTGACATCCGTTTCGTCTCCCTTTTTGTACAGCAGAATCGTAACCGCCTCGTTCACCACCTCCGGTAAGTCCCCCGTCTCCATGAAATCCTTGACCATCTTCATTACTGGGCCCTTCAATGACTCCCAGTGAACCTGGTACAGCTCCTTAGGTAACCCGTCCTTCCCCGGGGATTTGTCATTCGCCAGTTCCCTTATCGCTTGTCTGACCTCCTTCTCTGTCCAGTCCCGAGACAGCTCAACTGCCGATGCATCCTCCAGCCTTCTCCGCGGCGACCACTGCAACGGCTGCGCCTCACCTTCGCCTGCAGAGCCAACATCAAACGCCAATGTGAAATGCCTTGTGGCTTCACCGAGCACAGCCTTCGCCTCAGAGTAACTGACCCCATCTCGTACCAGCTCCTTAATACCCGTCTTTGCCTTCCTGCTCTTCACCAGGGCTGAGAGCAGGGCAGTCGGCGCTTCTCCGTCTAGTTGCACCTTTAACCCCGTCCGTGTCTGCAGCAAATTCCTCCGGCCGTTCCAGTATCTCCTCAACATTGCCTCCCGAGTGGTCAGGAGAGCCTGTAGTTCATCATCTCCCGGGTCCGCCATGACTCTGCGCTGCAATGCATCCACTTGCGTTTCTAAAGTCCTCCTCGTCTGTCTGACCCTCTTCCTCTCCTCCTTGTCATATTTCCGCAGGCGAGCGTTTAAACTCCTTGACAACTTGTCAAACTCCACGCAGCCACCTTCCCCCTGCTTCCGGACCACATCATCTATCACCACCTTCACCCCCGGCTTCTTGGCGAGCCTCGCCGGAAATCTCCACACGCCAGGACCTGACTCCTGCGGTCCCCTCCACACAAGCCTCACCCGGACAGCGTATTTGTGATCTGTCAACCCCATCGGCAACCACTGGTGAGACACCCGGGCCACCAAATGCATCAGCGATTGCGACACCAGCACCCTGTCGATCCTCGAGCTGACCTTCGCCGATCTGCAGTAGAAGGTGAATTGCCTCTCATCCGGATAGAACTCCCGGAAACATCCTTGACATGAAAATCGGATAGCATCTGCTTCATTCTGTTGTTGTCACCTGTCACCCCCTGCCGATTCGACTTATCCAGGTTCGGGTCCTCAATCATGTTGAAATCCCCTGCCACCAACAGGTCCTCCCCCCTAGGCAGGCTGGCTGCAACCTCTTTGAAGGCAGAGCCCAGGAAAACCCCCCTTGGCGGCGCCTGCCCTGGAAAGTACACTGCTACCAGCCGTACCAGTCTCGTTCCCCACTTCACCCTGGCATGCAGCAACCTGCCAGACTGATGTGATCGTACATCTTCAAGCTGCACCCCTTCCTTAAAGCACAGGATGGCCAAGCCACCTGCTCTGGTTGGAGCTGCCACCGTGGCCATGCAGCACGGCCTCAACTCCGCCCAGAAGTTATGATCCGCTGGTATCCTTGTGTCTGCTAACACTACAATGTCTGCCGTTGACTTGATCCACGTTTTTACCGCTTGTTGCTTCCCTAAACTCCCCAAACCATTGATGTTCAGGGACACGATGGTGAGTCGGTTGGCGTTACTCATTGTTAAACTTCCTTGAGGCCCCCTTGCATCCACAGGGCTTTGAGACAACAAAAAGGCTCACTCCTCAGTACAGCTAACAGCCAACACATGCTCCTTCTTTGCCGCCAGATGCGCTACCACCCCCAGACACCCTCCTCTGAGTCCCACAGGTGAAGAAAACAGCCTCACACGCCAAACTCCTTCCGCGCGGCCGGCAAAGCGACACCAGCCTTGGAGCTGCGGGTAGCCGCGCCTGACACCGTGCCATCGCTGTGGCGCTGGGAAACAACGTGTTCCGCGGCTTGCGCAAAAGTGACCCCACACGCCTTGTCGCAGCACTCCTGCACGCAGATCCACTCCTCGCGGTTCCCTCCGGTCGAAATCAACACCAGCGCCGGGTCCTTCAGAATAAGCCTGGTCAGATCTGTGAGTCTGACTGAGGCGGCTGCGCGGATCCGACACACCCACTTCATTAGCTCGGCAAGACGACGAAAAGGGTAAGCAGAAACACTTGATAGAAGACCACATTTTATTACCATTGATCCCATGCACCCGTCCCAAGGAGAGGCTCCACTTGCTGATGTTGTTCTGACGCTCCACCACATACACATCATGATACCTCGTCATATGAAAACCATTGCAGTAGGAGCAGAGCTGCGACGGATAATGTACCAGTAACTGCTTATCACTGTTCACAGGATCTTCCACCAGATGACGCCAACGGTACTTATCCCCCGCATGCGGCCTCACCAGGCCTTTCACTTTGTCCGTATCCATCCCCGTGACAGGATTGACGACGCGATGGAAACAGCAACCTTCCTTAAAAGCCGGCCTCCCACGCACGACCAGCTTCACCACCACCAGCATCTCGCGAAGCATATCAGGCGTAATGACCGCATCCACCCCCTTGAACAGGACTTCCACCAGCGCAGGATCAGCCGCGCGCGCCTTGACATAAGCCGGATCCACCGGGTGCTGCCAATCCAGATTAATCCTTGTCTTCCCATCCATACAGATGTGGACAATCCCATGACGCCAGACGAAGTTAGCGTCACGCGCCCGATCAAACGACACCTGAAGACGGCAGTACTGCTTCTTATTCAGGTACTGAGTTCCCAGCTCTTGAAACTTGGTAGTAGTCTGCACATCAACCCCCAAGTCCTTCCAAATTCCGAAAAGCGCACGCAGAGTCGCCTGCACCCGTGTCACCTCCGGCTTGAATTCAACAGGAACCAGCAGAGTGATGGCAAACCGGACACGTTGCGCCACCTCGCCCTTCGCAGCAGCCTCATAACGTTCCTCGGGGTCATCACTCAGGTAACCGTCATCATCCTCATCATCCTCGTCAGCCGTAGCCACAGCATTGACCCCCTCACCCTTGTCCTGCTGATGACCGTTCTCCCCCGCTCCAGTTGCAGGTTTCAACGCATCCGAGCCTTCCTTCTGAGGCAGCACAGCTCCTGAAGTCGCCGTCGCAAGTAAGTCACGCGCAGCATCTTTAATGCCTTGAGCTGTTCCGCCAGGCTGAAGAGCTTCTTTATCCGCTTCCGTGAACAGATCAGTTGTACGCTTGACCGACGACGCAGCAGAAACATCAGCCACCAGCGATGATTCCTTGACCTTGTCCTGGGTCACTCCAGACAACCCGTCAGCAGGACGAACTCCACCATTGCGCGTGATCATCCTGGACATAGTGCGATGATGACTTGGCGTAAACTGGAAACCTCTGCGAGGTGATAGCCGATGTCTGAGCACAATAATAGCCATGCTTTTAAGCTTGCGTTTCCTGAACTTGTATCCCCGGAAACGGGATAGCCTTGATGCTTGTGTAGCCACCAGATTAGGATATCGCCTCTTGACCAATGATACTGAGTGGATGAAATGCAGTGAAGTCCCGGACTGGCTGAAACATTGACATTTGTCATGCTTAGTTGTCGGCCTTTTAGGAAACCTAGGAACCTGTTGAAGAACCTTGGTGTTAGTAGCATTGTCAAGACTAGGGCCTCTCCGAGCACATGGTACAATGTCCGCCTGATGGACACATAAAGTGTACCGATGGCTTCGTAACAGTGAGGCGAGTCCAAATCTGCAACTAATGTTACCAACTGACACGTGTTCTTCACAAGCGAGGCTTCTAAAGCTGTCTGACAACATCCATGGCTGACGCATTGTCATTGTCGGGCCGATGTTTTGTCCTGGAAAGCTGGAAAGCTGGAGAACTAGATATTGATAGTCCACTAGATATTGATGGTGTACTATTTGTACAACCCATGCACTGTAGGTATGCATGGGGGGTTCCTCTTGGCCGCCAGGAGCAAGCTCCCAACGTTACACCCAAGCACCGCGGTGAGGTGGGAACCATCGCTCGGGACCCTGTTGGGGGGGGGGGGAGACAGAACACAGAAGGACACTGGATACTGCCCAGGGGCAGGTTAAAATTAATCTCAAATCCAATGCTGCCCGGTCTTGCTTCCTGACCAGCTGTACAGTTTTGCTCACTGCAAAGCTTGCAGTGAGGAACATGCAAAAGAGTTTTGGGAGATCTCCCGAAACCCTGATTTTGCTCACTGCAGCTAGGAAGGCGTGAGTTTTGAGACGTCTGTCAAAACTCACAAGTTTAGTAAGAAAGAGAGAGAGAGAGTGTGTTAGTGAGTTTTGAGATGTCTCTCAAAACTCAGAGAAGAGAAGAGAGGAGGAACGGAACACTGCAGTGCACTGCAGGACACAACAGAACTGCCACCGGCAGCTCACAACTGGATTTGAGGCGCCTCAAACCAGCATACAAGGTCCTCACACCCCTCTCTCACTCTGACTCTCACTCACCCTCACTCTGCAGCCTGCCGCAGTTCTCAACACTAGCTGACTCACACTCACCCTCACTCTAACTCTCACTCCACCCCCTCACCCTCACACTGCAGTCTTCTGCAGTTCTAAGCACTCAGCTCTTCCCTCACTCCTCTTCCCCCACACTCTGCTCCCCCCCACAATCTTCCTCTCTCTGCCCTCCTCACACTCTGCTTCCCCTGCAACCCCTGTTCCCCGCTATCTGCTCCCCACTCGCTCTGCTTCCCGCCACTCTCCTCCATCCCCCGATTTGCTGCATCTCCTGCATCTCCTGCATCTCCTGCATCTCCTTCATCTCTGCTTCATTTCTGCTCCATCTGCATCGTCTGCTTCATCTGCATCATCACTTCACTTCACAGCAGCAGCAGCTCATGGGCGGGAGGTAGGAGCGAGGGAGATAGCAGCTGGCCTTCTCTTATGCTCCCAGCAGCTGCCAGTCGTCTCCTCTGCTCTTCTGCAGTAGCACACGGGAGTGAGGCAGCATCGTCTGCTCCCACTGCTGCTGCCACCGCTGCTGCCACTCATGGCCTTCTCTTCTGCTGCTGATTCTCCTTTTGTTGCTGGCCATCTCCTTTGGTCCTCCACTCCCCGTCACCTCTCCTATCACATCACACCACCACCAGCAGCACACTCGAGGGAGGTAAGAGCGAGGGAGGTAGCACCTGTAGCTGCTGCTGTCTTCTGGTATTGCTGATGGTCCGACTGCTGCTGCTGCTGCTGCCAACACAGCAGCACCTCTCCACCTTCACCGAAGCAGCTGCCATCCCGTCACTTGTAGCACCTGTAGCTGCTGCCCCACTGCAGGCACACCCACTCCAATGCAGCAGCTGCCGTCCCGTCACTCCATAGCAGCAGCAGCAGCACAGGGGATAGAGTGGGAGCGAATGAGGTAGCGGCTGCACTCCCATCACATTGTAGCACCAGCAGCAGCACAGGGGAGAGAGGCGGGAGCAAGGGAGGCAGCACAAGGCAGCAGCAGGTAGTAACAGCTTGAGCTTGCTCGTGGCAATACTGGCGCCTCCATGCGGCCAGCAGCAGTGGGGGGCAGTGCAGCTGTGCTCTTCTCTGCAACCTGTGTTCATCTCCTTCACAACTGCTTTCTCTCCTTCACAGCTGCTTCACTTCCTTAGCTGCTCCATTTGCCTCTCCTCCTCCATCTCCTCTTGCTGCTCTGCCTCCTCTGCTCCTCCATCTCCTCTTGCTGCTCTGCCTCCTCTGCTGCTCCATCTCCTCTTGCTGCTCTGCCTCCTCTGCTGCTCCATCTCCTCTTGCTGCTCTGCCTCCTCTGCTGCTACATCTCCTCTTGCTGCTCTGCCTCCTCTGCTCCTCCATCTCCTCTTGCTGCTCTGCCTCCTCTGCTCCTCCATCTCCTCTTGCTGCTCTGCCTCCTCTGCTGCTCCATCTCCTCTTGCTGCTCTGCCTCCTCTGCTCCTCCATCTCCTCTTGCTGCCTTCTGTGACATGGGAAGAGAATGGGAACGGCCAATGAGCGAATGACAACAATGGGATGCGCGCATGCCAAAAGATGACCCAAAGCAGATGCAAAGCGGAAAAGGCAACGACCATCCATCCCATCCGACCATTGGCAAAACAGCTAAAGCCTCGGAAAGATGATCACCATTGGCAGTGAGCGTTTCTCCTCCACCGTGCTCCTTTGCTCCTCGTCTCCTCAGCTGAGCCAACTCCTCTGATGCTCCATCGCCAATGCTGCATCTCCATCGCCAATGCTGCATCTCCATCGCCAATGCTGCATCTCCATCGCCAATGCTGCATCTCCATCGCCAATGCTGCATCTCCATCGCCAATGCTGCATCTCCTCTGCTAATCCGTCCCCTCTGCTGCGTCCTTCTGTGAAATGGGAGGAGAATAAATCAGGGCAGATGAGTGCAAGGCACTGACTGCACCCAGAGCCAAGAAAGAACGCAGAGGAAATGCAAAACCAAGGCAACGACATCCGTTCGAACAAACAGAACAACTAAAGCAAGAAGGAGAATTACCGTCGGCAGTGAATAGTTATCCACCACCGTGCTCCTTTGCTCTTGAGCTCGCTTGCCCCTCTGCTCCTCGTCTCCTCTCCTGCACCTTCGCTCCTCAGCACCTTCGCTTCTCCTTCACTCTCTGCTCCTCTCCTCTCCTCCTCCGCTGCTTGCTCCTCCTCTCCTTCGGCTCCTTCTGCTCCATCTCCTCTGCATCTCCTGCGGAATGGGAAGAGAAAGCCTGTAAGCTTATAGCGTCAATTGCACCCAGTGCCAACAAGTGATTGAGAACAAATGCGTAGCGAATACGGCAGCGACCCGTTAAAAGTTTCTCACCGGGCGTGGCAGATGATTCTCCTTTGATCCTCCTCCATCTCCTTCCTCTCCTCCATCATCCCCATCCGTGCCTTCTCCTCTGTGCTCTCTGCTCCGTGTCTCTCCAACGCTCCATCATCTCCTCTGCCTTTCCGCTGCTGCTCCGTCTCCTGTGCTGCTGTGAAATGGGAAGAGGCAGGCACAGGGCTGATGAGCGCATAGCCCCGATTGCACCCCGTCCCCTCTGCTCCTCTCCCAGCAGGTGCCAGTCGTCCCCTCTGCTCCTCTCCCAGCAGTCGTCCCCGCTGCTCCTCTGGAGTAGCACACGGGAAGGGTGGCCTTCTCTTCTGCTGACACTGCTGGTGCCACTCCTTGCATTCCCTTCTGCTGAAACCAGTATGTCACTGCGGGCCTCTCTTCTGCTCGCTGTCCCATCACTTCACAGCACCAGCAGCAGCACGTGGGAGGGAGGTAGGAGCGAGGAAGGTAGCAGCTGCCGTCCCATCACTTCATGGCACCAGCAGCAGCACGCGGGAGGGAGGTAGGAGCGAGGAAGGTAGCAGCTGCCGTCCCATCACTTCACAGCACCAGCAGCAGCACGCGGGAGGCAGTAACAACTCGCAGATGGCTAGTGCCTGTGTGCCTTCTCCCCTCCGTGCCTTCTCCCCTCCGCTGCTCCTCGCCTCCTCTCCTCCTCGCCTCCTCGCCTCCTCTCCTCCTCTCCTCCTCTCCTCCTCTCCTCCTCACCTCCTCGCCTCCTCTCCTCCTCTGCTCCTCGCCTCCTCTCCTCCCCGCCTCCTCGCCTCCGTCTCCTCCGATGCATCTCCTGCAGAATGGGAAGGAAAGGAAAATTCTATGAGCTCAATTTTCACAGTGGCATTCATACAAGCAACGCAACGTTACCCAAGAGAATTGCACGGATTGGGCAACAAAAGTGCAGAACAACAAAAGAAACATTTGCAGAGGCAGTTTCCATTCACCACCACGCTCCGCTGCTCCTTACCTCCTCTGCTACTCTCCTCCTCTGCGCCGCTGCTCCACGCCTACTCTCCTCCGCGCCTCCTCTCCTCTGCGCCTCCTCTCCTCAGCGCCTCCTCTCCTCCACGCCTCCTCTGCTCCACGCCCCCTCTCCTCCTCTCCTCCACGCGTCTTGAAGTCTCGCGGCTGTCTGAAACGGGAAGCAACAACGACATTAGTACATGTGGAAAACAGAAAGCAGAAACTTGGAGAGCACTTACCGAGGGGGCTGAAGGCGTCGTGAAGTCTCGCGGCTGTCTGAAACGGGAAGCAACAACGACATAAGTACATGTGGAAAACAGAAAGCAGAAACTTGGAGAGCACTTACCGAGGGGGCTGGAGGCGTCGTGAAGTCCCGCGGCTGTCTGAAACGGGAAGCAACAACGACATTAGTACATGTGGAAAACAGAAAGCAGAAACTTGGATAGCACTTATCGAGGGGGCTGGAGGCGTCGTGAAGTCCCGCGGCTGTCTGAAACGGGAAGCAACAACGACATTAGTACGTGTGGAAAACAGAAAGCAAAAACTTGGAGAGCACTTACCGAGGGGGCTGGAGGCGTCGTGGAGTCCCGTGGCTGTCTGAAACGGGAAGCAACAACGACATTAGTACGTGTGGAAAACAGAAAGCAGAGATGGAAGATAGCTCACCGAGGGGGCTGGAGCGTTGTTGATGTCTTCGTGACGGCTAGGACAAGAAGACACACACATAACAACATTAGGCATGCGACGACACACGAAAGCAAAGAAGACTGCAGCTTACAACGGGTCCTAGCTGCTGCGTCCCCGTGTTGCTCCCCCCTTGGTGTTGCCTCCCCCGTTCTTGCTGTACCTAGAAGAGGGGCGGCACAGAAATTATATTTTGAAGGGAGGTGCTGCTCCTCCTCCCGCTGCTCCTCGTGTTGATCCTTTGCCCCCCAGGGGGTCAAAGCGCCTCACTTGAAGGTGCTGCTCCTCCTCCCGCTGCTCCTCGTGTTGATCCTTTGCCCCCCAGGGTGTCAAAGCGCCTCACTTGAAGGTGCTGCTCCTCGTGTTGATCCTTTGCCCCCCAGGGGGTCAAAGCGCCTCACTTGAAGGTGCTGCTCCTCGTGTTGATCCTTTGCCCCCCAGGGGGTCAAAGCGCCTCACTTGAAGGTGCTGCTCCTCGTGTTGATCCTTTGCCCCCCAGGGGGTCAAAGCGCCTCACTTGAAGGTGCTGCTCCTCGTGTTGATCCTTTGCCCCCCAGGGGGTCAAAGCGCCTCACTTGAAGGTGCTGCTCCTCGTGTTGATCCTTTGCCCCCCAGGGGGTCAAAGCGCCTCACTTGAAGGTGCTGCTCCTCGTGTTGATCCTTTGCCCCCCAGGGGGTCAAAGCGCCTCACTTGAAGGTGCTGCTCCTCGTGTTGATCCTTTGCCCCCCAGGGGGTCAAAACGCCTTACTTTGAAGGTGCTGCTCCTCGTGTTGATCCTTTGCCCCCCAGGGGGTCAAAGCGCCTCACTTGAAGGTGCTGCTCCTCGTATTGATCCTTTGCCCCCCAGGGGGTCAAAGCGCCTCACTTGAAGCTCCACCTCCTCAAATCCTTTCCCGTCCTTGCTGCCCCGGTAATGCTTCAGGACCAGCTGTGCAGTTTTGCTCACTGCAACGATTGCAGTGAGGAACATGCAAAAGAGTTTTGAGAAACCCTGCTTTTGAGACATCACTTCAGCTAAGCTGCAGTGAGAAGGAAGAGAGAGAAAGAGTGAGCGAGTTTCGAGATGTCTCTCAAAACTCACTCAGAAAAGAGAAGAGAGGAGGAACGGAACACTGCAGTGCACTGCAGGACACAACAAAACTGGATTTGAGGCGCCTCAAACCAGCAAACGAGGTCCTCACACCTCACATTCACTCTGACTCACTCTCACTCTCACCCTCACTCTCACTCTCACCCTCGCTCTCCCCTCACTCTCCTCTCGCCCTCGCTCTCTTCTCACTCTCCTCTCACTCTCGCTCTCCTCACGTCCTCTCTATGCTCCTCCCAGCAGGTCCCAGCCGTCTCCTTCCACTGCTGCTGCTGCTACTGCTGCTCCCCGCTGCTGCTGCTGCCACTGCAGCTGCTGCTGCCACTGCTGCTGCTGCTGCCACCGCTGGTGTCACTGCTGGTCTTCTCTTCTGCTGCCAGCCACTGCTGCTGTCAGCTGTAGTGTCATTGCGGACCTCTCTCCTTCTCCCACCGCTGGTGTCACTGCTTGCATCCCCTTCTGCTCCCACTGCCGCTGCCACCGCTGGTGTCAGTGCTGGCCAACGCAGCATCAGAGCTGCTTGCTGTCGTCCCGTCACTCCACATCACAGCACCAGCAGCAGCTCGCAGATTGCTGGTGTCGATTTCGTGTCCCCTCCGTGCCTTCCCTGCTGCAGCTCAGGACAGCGATTGACTGGCCTCCCAACACCCAGCAGCAGCGCCAGAAAAGTGTAGGGGATTCTTCTCGTGTAGGGGATCCCCTGCCGCTGCTGCTCACACTGCTGCTTCTGCCACTGCCGCTCTCCTCCTGCTTTCACTGCTGCCGCTGTCAATGCTGCTCCTGTTGCTGCTTCTCCTCAGACTAACGCCCTGCACAGTGCCAGAGAGTCGCAATCGCACGGGGAAGATCAATCAGTGAGTCGACAGAGCAGATTGACAGAGTGAAGAAGATCGAATGCAAGGAGGAAAAAGGACAGCGGAAAAGCGACGAATAACACGAAAGCAATTGAAACTACCAAGGCAGAAGAAAACTCGAATGAGGAGAGAGAAGGGAGAGGGGGAATTATGAAAAAACGGGGTTTTCTGTCATGGCTCCAATTACTTACTTGCTTATCCAGTCGATGCTGCTCCAGCTGCCCCCAACGCAGCAGGTGCTATCCAGTCGCTGCTGCCCCGTCTTCCGACCCACGCCTTAGCGTTGTCTCCCTGCACAGAGATCAGAGAGTCGCAGGGAAGGATAATCAGAGAAGAGTTGACAGAGCAAATTGACAGAGTGAAGAAGACCGAATGCAAGCAAGGAAAACGAATGGCTTGAAAACACTGCAGTGAGTGGAAAACTCGAATGAGGAGGAAGATGGGAGGGCGAGGAGAAGAGAGGAAGAGCTCCAGTTACTTACTTGCTTCTCAAGTAGCTGCTTCTCCTGTTGCTGCTTCTCCACTCGCCGCTTCTCCAACACAGCAGCACCGCTCCAACACAGCAGCACCGCCTCCAACACAGCAGCACCGCTCCAACACAGCAGCACCGCTCCAACACAGCAGCCCCACCTCCAACGCAGCAGCCCCACCTCCAACACAGCAGCACCGCCTCCAACACAGCAGCACCGCCTCCAAACAGCAGCAGCACCGTTCCGCCTCCAACACAGCAGCAACGCCAGTCAACGTCATGCTTCCATGGACGCAGCAACACCGCGCCAGCACCAACGCCTGACAGCCATCTCCTCTCGCCCGCACCAACGCAGCAGTCAGCATCACCTCTCGCACTCTCTTCTCCCGCGGCTGCACGGACGCAGCAGCACCGCTCCAGCTCTTGGCGAGAGATTAGCTCCAGCCCTTGGCGAGAGATAGGCTCCAACGCAGACCAGGAAACTAGCTCCTGCTCCTGCACGGACGGAGACAGTTCAAATCACGACGGGTGAGTGAGATACGGACGCCATGATATTTACGCCAGATTGAACGCAAACGAAACGCGAACGCCAAAAATAGCCACGAAACGTTTACCCTACAGATAGCGCGTCGCCTGAGAGCGTATTTTAAGTTGGACGAAAACTCACCGGCGAGCTTCTCCGTAGTATCTGCGCGAACGTCGACGTATTCGCGTCCATGAAAACGGCCCCTTCGATTACGAGTGAGTGAGATACGTTGACGTATTCGCATCGGCCGAATTCACAAGATCCAGGGACGTCGCGAGCGTCGCACGGTCGTCGCAGGGTCGTCGCACGGTCGTTGCATCACGACGAAGCTCCTTCGCGAGCTACCCCGCCGTCGTGAGTGTCGACGTGTGGTCGAGCGGATCCTCCGTCGTACTACCATCCACGGCCTCGCGAGCTCTTCGGGATCGACGAATAATCAGACTAAAAAAAGCTTCTCCGTCAATCATTTCGCAAGTTTAGTAGTCACGAACTCGCCGTCACGAAGAGCGTCCGTAATAGTGTCGAGAGCTCTCTCGCCGATGAGATCTCTTCCATGCATCCATGTATTCGTGATCTCTACCGCCACCTCCTCACGAAAATCCTCACGTAGTAACATCATTCGACACCGTCAGGCGTCTTCGCGTGGTCATCTTCCTTAACGTCGCAAGTGTCTACGTCGGTCGTCAGTGTAGGCGTCGGACGTTAGTAGTTGTTGGAAGCGGTGTCGCACGTCAGCATCGGCGTCGGACGGACGGCATCGCGACGACGTCGTAGGATGCATGCTGCGAGATCGATTGGTGCTTGCTGCTAGAGCGTTCTGATCTGTAGCCCAAGCTTAGTCTCAAGCGATTGCTATTTTTGACGCACGTTTTATTACTAAAGAAGCGGCCATGGACGGACGGACCGAGTTAGCAAGCATGCGCCTGAAAGAACTCACGGAGCAGAACCAAGCGAGAGGGATTGTGGTTAGGAAGGGAATGCGAGGCGAGCGGAAGTGAGGTGATTCGCCATGCAGCAGAGTCACTCACAGGGACGAAGGAAAGCCCAAGCCGAGGTGTACTAGGCCATTGTGAGCCTGATCCAAGTTTGGTATTTCGGTTGAGTTTGTTTCCTCACGTTCCTATGCGGTACCACATGAACGAGGTTCGGTTTATCGAGTCCAGCTGAATGCGATGCCCAAGTCCAAGCGGAGGTGAGGAGAGGAGAGGGGAGGAGTGCCGAAGCAAACGATGTGAGTGAAGGGGAGCGAGGAGCCGAGTCGCCATGCAAGCCGAGAACGTCCCCTCTCCAGTCCAAACCCAAGGCGGGGGACGCCGCTGCTGCAGAGCCTGGTTGCGGGAAATTTGCGCTGACGAGGCGGGAAGCCAAATTGGCGGAGGAGGTGCGCTGAACGGCAGGGAGCTGCGAGGACTGTCAGACGAGTGGAATAGGCTTTCGCCAGAGTTAGATAGCTACCACACACCGAACTACAAATAACGTTACCGTGTTTTCGCGGGGGAGCTGCTCCTGACACCGACGGCGTTGGATGGGGTGGTGATGGTGAGGAGAGGTTTGTTGACAGGCAGCAACGCTATTGGCACGCAGCTTGTGCAAGTGCCAGACCACAATTTCAAATTTGAGTTGACCGTCACGTCAACCATGCGGAGGGAAAAGTCCATCCCAGCCGTCTTGTCCCAACCAGCGCACAACCCCCGTAGTATCGGTGTCGATATATACCAATGTTGCTATTCACATGTTAATTCAAAGCATGCTTACGGCTTTATTGATTAAACATACCATTGACATATTTATTATAGTCTCAGGTATTGCCCTCCCCTGAGGAAAACCAACATGTTGCATTACCGGTTATATCTTGCAAAAGGGGTGGCCTCAAGAGAAGCATGTTTGAATTTGGGAGCAATTGACAATCAGGGTGCAAGTGCAATGTTGGGTCCCTGATTGCCCCAGCAGATGAAAGAATCAACCGGCAAATTCCACTATATCACCCTGCTTTAGCAGGAAAACATGACTAGTCTTAGCACAACCTAGACACAAGAAAGCACTAGGATATTTCTTAATTGTGGAACCATGCGGGACTGAGGTAGCTTTATCCTAGACAGGCAGCAAGCCTTTCTTAACCCCCTCTGGAAGTGCAGCTTCCATGGGACTCTCGTGGCAAGTGCTTTAAGCTGCACAAAAGAAACATAGAACGGGAAAAGGGAAGGGTGAGTTGAGGTAGATGCTGCAGATGAGGAAACAGCAAGCCGAATACAGCAGGGAACATGATGAAGTAGTGCGCTCAGCAGGCATGCAGCAAGAGGGTTATCATTGCAGGGCAACGCCTGTCTCACCCTTGGGGTCCCAGAGGATGGTGGTGTCGGCAATCTTGGAGGTGACCACGTAGGGGTCCATGTTGCTGGCCGGCCGGCGGTCCTCAAAGTACCCCTTCTTCTGGGCCTCCGTGTCCCGTCCCACTCGCACCGAGCACCCACGGTTCGCCACACCCTGAAATACACAGGAACAATGGGACGAAATCAATGAGCAAGAGTTCGTTCAAGCTAGAGAAGTGCGTTACAAGTCACATCTCATCATGCAATGGAGAACATTTCCATGTGCTGCACATACACATTCTCATGCACTGGTCACCATCACACGCCGTACCCATGAGAAGGTGTTGACGTCAGCAGTCTCGTGCTTGCCAGTGAGCCGTCGCTCGTTGCCCTCGCCATAGGCGGCGATGTGCTCCTTGTGCCGCAGGCCCAGCTTCTCAATGGCCTTCAGGATCACGTCGTACCCGCCCTCCTCGCGCATCGCCTTGGTGCTGTAGTTGGTGTGGCACCCTGCACCGTTCCAATCGCCCTGTGCACGCCCAAGCAAACAGTAGCGCGCGCATGAACCCAAGTAAGTGGCAGGACTCCACAACCGTTTGTCAATGAGGACCCATGGAAGATTCAAAGGAGCATCTGAGGCGAATGATGGCACGAAAGTGATGCTAGCGAACATTACATCGAGCGCTTACCTCAATGGGCTTAGGATCGAGCGTCAGAACCACACCAGCCATCTCCGTCACTCTCTGCAAGAGAAACACAGCACACAATGCAGCGAGTTAGGCAAGACGCGGTTGTGACAGGCAGTAGAATGGAACCATGAATGGTTAAGCGCGTTAAGCTCCAAGCTGAATGCATACCTCGAGCAGGTAGCGACCCATCCAGAGGTGATCACCCGCCTCAATGCCCGTGCACGGCCCCACTTGGAACTCCCACTGGCCGGGCATGACCTCCGCGTTGATGCCGCTGATCTTAACTCCCGCGTACAGGCACGCCTTGTAGTGCGCGTCCACGATGTCGCGACCCCACGCCTTGTCCGCGCCCGTGCCGCAGTAGTACGGCCCCTGCGGCGCGGGGTACCCGCCTGTGGGCCACCCGAGCGGCCACTTGACGTCCTTCTGCATCAGCGTGTACTCTTGCTCCAGGCCGAACCTGGTGATATGGCGAATCAGTAGACGAAAGAAGCAGACGGAACGAGGTAATCAGTGGTGCTCATAGTGTGTTGCGGTCTAGCAATAACGTGGCATCGCAGAGGGAGGCGATCAAACTTTTGTTGCAGAATACATTTACGATTCAAGGGCGATGCTCATGCGCAGACTCACCAGGCCTCGTGCTCCTTGACTTTGTCGAAGATGGAGGCGGCGAGAGCGCGCTTGTTCGTGGGAATGGGCTGGCCCTGCGGCGTGTAGCAGTCGCAGATGACCAGAATGTTGTTTCCTCCGCGGAACGGGTCCCTGAAGATTGCTTGCGGGCTGCACGAGCGACAATGCGGGACAATGCGGGAAGGAGAATGAGGGTCAGGACGAATACAATGCAGTCCACGGAGAGAACGAAGCAAAAGAAACCATTGATTCAGATGCTTCCAAAGAGCTGAACGGCGAGGCGAGGTCGATGCGAGTGAGAAACTTACTAGAGAATGACCTCGCTGTCGTCGCCGGGTGCCTGGCCAGTGCTGGAGCCATCGAAGTTCCACTTGGGAAGCTTCGCCACGTCATCTGGTCCAATGGGACCCTTGAGAGTCTGATCACATTTCGCGACACGTAGCAACCAAATGGAAAACAAGATCAAATTGAGTTTACAGATCGTACATAAAGTGCGAGGCAGAGCGGCACGGACAACAAGATCAGATTGAGTTTACAGATCGTACATAAAGTGCGAGGCAGAGCGGCACGGACAACAGTCCCAACGAATCATCATTCCCAGGATGCTTACCCGAGCCTTGCTCCTGATGTCAATGCCTGAGCCACCGATCCTGCAGACGCATAACCAGCTCGAACTAAGTTAGGTTTCATAACCAAAAACAGGATCGAAGACCGACGACGTGGTTGACTGAGATGCAAATCCAGAATCATGACCAGAAGGAACACGAACTGACCAGATGTATTCAGCGATGATGTCTCCAGTGGTGATTTCGATGTTCTTCAGCTGATCAATGGAGGACGCCATATTCACTAATTATCGGGGACGAAGAACCAGGTAGGTACGCTGAAGAATAGGAGATTTCGTGAAACGTCTGTGGAAGTATTGAGCGTAGAATAACAGCTGCTGATCACAACTCCGAGAACGCCGTGATTTATACAATGGAAATGGATATTCTCAAGGATTCCTCTTGGGAGTTCTTCCACTAGCTGTCACTCCGTGATCACAGCGGCTGGGAATGTCTGGGCAGCGCAGTTGGGCTGCAAAAGAGGAAACGCGCGGCGAGGATTGCACTTTTTCCGGTTGACCCATCGGCTGCTGATGCGTTGTGCGTCAGCCATTCCGGGTGAGCCAAGTGCGAATGCTCTGCGTTCTGTTGATTGGTTGCTATTCCACATCAGCCAAACTCGAGGAGACGATCTTACATTTATCTGGAAAGGGCATGGCATCCTGGCCGTTCCTTATCCCAGATCGACAGTTTTCACACTGATAAGGCAGCTTTTTGCCCCGTTGGCCACTGCCTAGCACAGATCAGCTAAAAGATCTTGGGGGAAGCGCGTCGCACGGAGCTTTGGCTGGAGTTCCACGTGATCCAAATTTCCTTCTTTGCTGGAAAAGTCTGGCTGTTGGAAATGGATAAGGTCACTAATCCATTCAGTTCGTGCCATGTCAGCAGGCCTTACCTCCCAGTGGGCCCTACGGAAGTCCGCTTCGGGTTTGCCCGTCAAAAGTGGAACCACGAGGAATTGCAAATCTCGTTTATTGGGCATCCTCATCACATGTCATTCCAGCAATGCAAGTTCGATAGTCCCTCATTTTCCTGTGTCAGTCGAAAGTGTGACACACTTGGTTTGTAGTGCATACACGCGCTGAGGCATTAATTCAGAGAGAGCATTGCATCATGCAGAAATTGTACTTCACATTCTAGATTGTAGGTTGGCCTGTGTTTGCCTGAAAGATTGTGAAAACAAAAAATATTACAAACCTTATTACTAAATATATATACCTTCATAAATGAGCGAATGTGCGAAGTCATTGTACATGCCACACATAGTTTGAACTTCCATGAACTTCATAACCAGGTGCATCCACCCTGCACCAGATCTAATTGCTAAAATCAAACACGAACAAGCATCTTGCAGAAATTACTTTCCAGCACCTGCACATTTAAAGGGAAAAGGATGAGGTTAAGCAATAAAACTGACCCATCAAGATGTACCACCCATTCAGCAGTCTGAAAATGTTGCGAGGACACAATCAAGAAGCTAACTTGTGACTGAAACAGCCATAGCTGCCTGAAACGATAAGCCACGCACACAGCCTTCAAGGCCATGTTGCTCTACAGACCCCCAAGGGCAAGCATGCATTGAGAGCAAGCTCACCAAGTGAATCAAGGGATCCGAGTTTTCTCACAACCGCACATCAAATGAAACAGCATGGATCAGGGTTGGGAAAGAGTACAGGCAGGGCATAGGGCATAGAGAATGGAGCAGTCAGCTGGTAGTGCATGTGAGTACTCTTCATTGTGTATCAGCACAGGTCTATGAGTTAGATCATCACTCTGCTCAGACACGTGTAGGTCAGTATCCGATGAGTTGAATTAGAGCATTTGCCTCAGTCGAAAGATGGTGATTGGATTTAGAATCAAAGACAGGCTCATGATTGGACAATTCTGCATCAATGGCAAATGGCTGAATGTATCCATCAAGAAAAAACAAGAAAATGTCGGATTTGGCCAAGAAGCAGACATCAAATACAAGTGTGGACGGAAATGAAAACCAGGCCAAAAAGCTGGAACACCAACCAAGTAGAAACTTGCCTCAGTCGAAAGATGGTGATAATGTTTGGTAAATCAGAGACAGGCTCATGAATTGGAACACGTTTTACATCACCGGCAAGTGACTCTGCGAGACTGATAGTTCCAGCCAAATTAGCGAAGGTTGAAAGAGAAGCAAGCAAAATGCGGGAAAAATAAAGGCTTGATAGCGCACAAAAAAGCAGGGTTTGGTGAAGAGAGCAGTCAGCTGGTAGTGCATGTGAGTATTCCTCATTGTGTATCAGCACAGGTCTATGAGTTTGATCATCATGCTGCTCAGACCCATGGCAAGATGAACGATGCTGCATAAAATCAGGAAAAATAAAGGCTTGATAAAATCGAAGAAGAATCCATTGCCTCAGTCAGAGTTGAAGTTCAGTGATTGTGTGCAATCATAGGCGTGCTCAGGAGTTTACGGAAATAAGTGCATCACAGGCAATATGGCAGGACCGAGTTGTAAGGAAAACATGAGTTGCAAAGGTGAAGAAAAACCAGGATTGAGGTGAATTGAGACGCACTAGCACTGAGGTGCAGAAGTACAACTTGAATTGTGCTACCATCCCAGTGAACTCAGCAGTCAAACAGCAGCAGTCAAGGAAAGAAGAAACAAACGGTCTCAAAGCCAAGGGTCAGACACAGGACCAGACAGCCCATTGGCAAACAAGAGTGGTGAAGGGAGCAGTCAGCTGGTAGTGCATGTGAGTACTCATCACTGATGAATCAGCACAGGTCTATGAGGTTGATCATCATGCTGCTCCAATCGACCAGACTGGGTTCCGACTCACCTAACAGCAGGCACGGGGAGTACGACGTGCCTAAACTGGAGCATACACATGCTGCTGTGTCAAGAAGCAACACTAGACATGTCATGCATATTTGGACTCGTAAAAGAGGTGGAGAGGTCGGGAAGGAATCATTTGCCTCAGTAGAGTTGAAGTTCGGTGATGTGTGCAATCACAGGCACGCTCAGGAGTTTACGGAAAAAAGAGCATCACTGGCAAATGACCCAACCGAACGGAAGAACGTGGTAACGCCACACCCTGAAGGGGCGAGCCCCGGACGGGACGAGACAAGGTGAACCCGAGAATGTCACTGACCTTTGACATCAGAAGCGCGTAGCGGAGCTGGTGATGGTGCGTCCATGGGGGCCACGAGCTGAGGTCAGCCGATTTCACGCTAGGTCAGCGAAGCCAAGCACCACTGAAGCCAGATCAGCAGCAGCGAAGCCGCACCCACATCCTTGAAGTCGAATTAGAGGCAGAGATGCGGAATCAACGCCATTCAAACGGGTCAGCAAGGGTGTACGAGAGCCGCATGGCACTGTCTGCTGCTTCCAGGATCCTTCGCTTCGCCTCCAGGTAGGTGAGATACGGCAAGCCCGGGTCCAACATTCGATTGAGAGGCGGTTCCAACGTCTGTAGCACGCAACACCAAGCATGCGCCATGCAAGCACCATGCGCATAACAAGCAAGCAACCAGGAACCGACCGAATCAACAGCAGGCATCCGCAACCAAGCAGGCACCCAGCAAGCGTTACAGCCCAGGCCACACACGAGGCGGGAGTGCACTGAGTTAATGAAGCAGCCACAGATGAGTAAAAGACAGCTAGCAAACGTGGGTGAGGACAACCACTGGGGAGAGGACACAGGACGATGGGAAAGAGGGAAAAAAATCTGAACCTCGACTTCCCTCCTTACCTGAATGGTCAAATCCCTCTCCACTTCTTTTGCAAACTCCTTTGTCTCTGCGCCAAACCCCGTCCCCCGCGGCCCCCAGTAGTGGTGCATGCGTAGCTGCGCGGGGTCCGCGCGCTCGGTTGCGCCCACGGCCATGGGGAAGAAATGCGGCGCAACGCGCATGTCCGCCCACTGTTCCACCGCTGCCACGCGCACGATGGGCTTGGAGCGCTGCAGGTGCTGCCGCCAGTCCGCTAAGTGCTGGCACTTAGTAAAGCGGCGGAAGAGCAGGGAGGAGCGAGGGGCTTCGCTGTTGCCTACGAAGAAAATGTTTGGCGCGAGGACCTGGAGATGGGTTCAAAACGGTTAGAGGGAAGAACGGTTGGAACGGTTGTAGACATCGGACGAGGGGGGGACGGAGAGGGACGGGAACATGCATGCGAAGACGCAGCAAAAGATAGAGGGACGGGAACAGGCAAGCAAAGACAGAGCAAAACATTGGGCACGGTTGACGCAGTCAGATGCGCGCAAGACGCTTACCTGGGTGACGGAGGGATCGGCGAGCGAGACGTTGCGCATGAAGCGGAAGAGGAAGCCAGCGCGGAGATCCCGAGGGTCGAAAACGAACTCGTCGACGTCGCAGAAGACCACCCACGTGGACGCGTTGCGATACTTGTTGAGGTAGTGCAGAATCGCGCCGTTCTGCTCGGGAAAGACGTTGTACGCGGCGCTGAGAATGCGGTGCAGCGGGAGGTAGGTGACGTAGCCCGCGCGAATGAAGGGCCCGAGGGCTTCGAACTGGCGTTCCGAGGCGTCGTGCGCGCAGTCGTACCAGAAGACGTGCTCCACGCCGGCTAGCCGAGTGAAGGCCACCCACTGCACGACGACAACACCAAGCATACATTTCACGCCGGGAATCATTCAGCCAGTCACCGAACACAACCCATTCACACCACACCAGACCAGCAAACCACACCGAAGGGAGAAGGTCGTGAGAGACGGAAGGTGCCAGTGCAACGACGGCGACGATTATGGAGATGTGAAGCCAGCAAGTCAGGAGGGCGAGCAGAACCAGGGGGTAATTAAATAAACGGTATCAACAGCGGGTGTGGGGATAGGGAGGAAGAGGGGGGAGGGAAGGGGGGAAGTTGCAAGGGAAGTGACGAGGAGTGTACGAGATATTATAGGAAGAGCATGTGCGGAGGCTTACCTGCCAGATTTCAAAAGATGAGAAATTGAGACGGTCGCCGCGGAAGACGCGATTGTACACCATGGCGGAGAGAAAATACTTGGGAGAGGTCGGCACTCTCCGAGAAGCAGGCAGACCAGATGCTTCGACCGTCATGTTCGCCGAGGCATCGCTCAGAAGCTGCCTCGAAATGTCACCAGACAATGCTTGATCCGTCGAGAGCGTTGTGAGAAAATCCCTGTTTCCGGCAGCACCGCCAGCCTGATCTGCAACTTCAGCGTCCTCAGCGCCGTCAGTCACCGGATCACGCACTACCCTGCCGTCTGTTACCGCATCGTTTGGAGCAGCGCTGTCCGCCGTTTGCGTTTGCCTCTGCAGGCTGTTCTGCTCGCGTAGGTGCTGGTAGATCGGAGGCTCGTCCCGGCGAAACACGGTCTCCTCCGGAAGCGGAAGAGCGTCGACAAATGGGTGAGCAGCGAGATGCAGTCCCTCTGGCTCTGGGTGCCCAATGGCCTCGAAATCAGCGTCGTCCGCAGATCTGAAAATGCGGTGCGAGAGGACGGTACACTTCAAATTAGCTAACAAATTCTGGAAATCCATAACAGCCTGGATAGGAAATTAGCAGTAACGGGGGAAAGCCTTGCAGAAGCTGAAGTTGGTTAAATTGGATAAAACCTTACAGTGTGGGAAGTCGTCTTGCCAGCGCATCAAGCTTAGTGCGGAGATCCGAGAGAATCACATTGGCGCGCGAAAGATCGGCTGGCGTAGAGCCCGTAGGAGCTCGGACACCAAATTGCTTCACACCTTTGCTGTTGTCAGTTCGTGGCTGCGCTGCAATGCCTGCCTGGAAAAAAGGGAGATAATTAATTAATTGGATAATACTAAATATGCAACATGCGTTGATGAATGGTCAATGTGTTGCAGGGAACTTCACCATGGCAGTGCCGCCGACGCCTGATGAAGCCTCGCGAAGGAACGGCGCTGAGAACCGGTACGCAAGATGCTGCAGAAGCATGGTGGTCATGACGCCTAGCAGCACGTTGAAAGAGAAGCGCAGGTGCTGATGCACGATCGATGGTCCACGTGACGTCCAAGCCGGCGCCATAGCAGATGCAGATGCCATCGTGACTGGCAATTCGGGTCTAGGGGCAAATTTTGAAATAACGCATGCACGACAGCATGATTACTACTTCGCAGGAATCACGACGATGCGATGTGAGGTAAAGCCCAATGACACGCATCACCTCGTGCCTTCTAGCGACAGCGGGCCTTCAGCTTGGAAAGGTGTATACAACCCTACCAGAGATGAGAACAAGCAGTGCTTGAACAAGCAGGAACAACCTGGTCGCCAAAACAAACCCTCGGAACTACCGCACATAGACAATACCGCGTGGTTGCCTGCCTGACTGGTGGTCACCTCCAAGATACTTGTAATATTGGGGAACTGTAGAAAATGAAGGGTCAAAGCAAAAAGACTACCGGTAGATACAAAACTTTGGCATGCTGTATAACCAATCAATTTTGCATCACTTAGATACAGAAACACGTTGTTAGGAATATTAACGTACCGCATCAATCTTTTGAGCATGGCATGCCTTGAAGGTTGGGGTTGCCATGCTTGAATCAACAAGGTTCTTATTGCCCTATAAAACGCAGCAGACTCCTCCACACTAGTAGTTGTTTGCGACTCGACTACATTCCGGTAACAATCAGATATATATGCAATGCCAGCTATGCCCACCCACAATGCCCTACCATAACACACCAGTTACAATAACGTACCGGTTACCATTACTCACCAAATACCATAATGTACACGTTACCATAACACACCATTACAACAATGTAAGCGTTACCATTACACACCGTTACCTTCCGCGTTTTGGGGCCGGAAGCGCTCGTTCCGAGCGTTTTGTCAGAGGTCCACTGGTGATCCCCGATTGATCCTAGTGAAGGGTTACAGGCTCGTTGTCCTGGGGGGTTATGGGCGCACTGACCCGCTACTTAACAAGCCCTTTTATCCCAGTGGTTAGTGGCTGGGATTCTGACATGGTATCAGAGCGAAGGTCTCGGGTTCGAATCCCAGTGTATGCACTTCGGGCATCCCAGTGCGGGGGGTTGTCAGAGGTCCACTGGTGATCCCCGATTGATCCTAGGGAAGGGTTACAGGCTCGTTGTCCTGGGGGGTTATGGGCGCACTGACCCGCTACTTAACAAGCCCTTTTATCCCAGTGGTTAGTGGCTGGGATTCTGACACGTTTTTCTTCCGCCGGGTCACGTGGCTGCACTTGTCTGGGATTATTGCCAAGCCAGCAAGGGCGTGGGAGGGTTGCGAGCATCATCGGGCATCGGCGCTCGCGAATGAAGATCGCCCGCTGCACTTCCTGCACATGTGCGGCTCCTTCTGCGTTTTGGGGCTGGAAGCACTCGTTCCTGCGGAGATAACTGCAGCAACGGGAGCTAGACTACGGGCTAGGCACGGGTGCTCGTGTGATATCTGCGTTCGTTGTTCCTTAGTCGTTTTCCTAGTGCACACACTGCTTTCTAGTTCACGGGGCGATTTGGCAAGAGTTTCACCAAGAAAGGTTGACAACAATGGTTGCAACAACATTGGCAACACAGACTACATCATAGCTAGCTAGGCTGCTGGTCGACCTCCAGCGTAGCATGGTCGACCGCGCTCCAGCGCAGCAGCGCTCGCACCGCTCCAGCGTTGCAGAGTAGCGGTGCGCCAACGTTGCAAGTCCACGGTGTGCCAACGCTGCAGCAAGTCGACTGCACAGCGTTGCACCCGCAGGACAACGGTGCACCAGCTTCGCAGGTGCGTGCGGCTGGTTGGTGCTCTACACCTTGTCATGCGCACAGTGCAGACGCCTGGCAGACTCCACGCCTGCGATTGCGCCCACCAGCCACGCCGACCTCGAGATACCACAGGTCGGCCTCGCAGACGTCACCCCGGCGACACTCGCGCACGCCGCCCGGGTATCCCGGTCGACCAGGCAACCACACCTGGTCGACCAGCTCGGTCGGTCGCCGGCTGCACAAGCCCGGCGTCCCCAATGTTCGGCGTCCACCACCTCGGCGCCCTGTTGCCCGACGCCCAGCTGCTCGGCGTCCTACTCCTCGACGCCCTCCAGCTCGGCGTCACCAATCTCCCTTGTCGTGGTCGACGTCGGCCCCTCCTTCGTCGATCACCAGATACGGTCGACCACCAGGTCGACGATACCCCTGGTCGACCAACCACCACGTCGACCAGCAGTCCTTTCAGCCGGCCACCCAAGTCGGCTGCCCCAAGTCGGCGTCACCAAGTCGACGCCCCACACAGGTCGACCTCCCCGAAGCCGGCGCCCCCGAAGTAGGCGCCCTTGTAGTGGCCCTCGTGCAGGTCGACCAACCCCGTCGGCTGCTCCCTTCACACCCGACCACGAAGTCGGCTCCGCCCAAGCGAGGACGGGGCCACACCCAACTCCCGTTGACAGTTCCAAGCGTTTTTCTTCCGCCGGGTCACGTGGCTGCGCTTGTCTGGGCCTATTGCCAAGCCAGCAAGGGCGTGGTTGCGAGCATCATCGGTCATCGGCCCTCGCGAATGAAGAGCGACAGCTACACTTCCAGCACATGTGCAGATCCTTCCGCGTTTTGGGGCTGGAAGCGCTCTTTCCGAGCGTTTTTCTTCGCTGGCTCACGTGGCTGTGCTTATCTGGGCCTATTGCCAAGCCAGCAACGGCATGGGAGGGTTGCGAGCATCATCGGCCATCGACCCTCGCGAATGAAGAGCGCCCGATGCACCTCCTGCACATGTGCGGTTTTTTCCGCGTTTTGGGGCTGGAAGCGCTCGTTCCGAGCATTTTTCTTCCGCCGGGTCACGTGGCTGCACTTGTCTGAGCCTATTGCCAAGCCAGCAAGGGCGTGGGAGGGTTGCGAGCATCATCGGTCATCGGCGCTCGCGAATGAAGAGCGCCCGCTGCACTTCCTGCACATGTGTGGATCCTTTCGCGTTTTGGGGCTGGAAGCGCTCGTTCCGAGCGTTTTTATTCCGCCGGGTCACGTGGCTGCGCTTGTCTGGGCCTATTGCCAAGCCAGCAAGGGCATGGGAAAGTTGCGAGCATCATCGCTCATCGGCGCTCGCGAATGAAGAGTGCCCGCAGCACTTCATGCACATGTGCGGATCCTTCCACGTTTTGGGGCTGGAAGCGCTCGTTCTGAGCGTTTTTCTTCCGCCGGGTCACGTGACTGCACTTTTCTGGGCCTATTGCCAAGCAAGCAAGGGCGTGGGAAAGTTGCGAGCATCATCGGTCATCGGCGCTCGCGAATGAAGAGCGCCCTCTGCACTTTCTGCACATGTGCGGACCTTTCCGCGTTTAATGGCAGGAAGCGCTCGTTCCGAGCGTTTTTCTTCCGCCGGGTCACGTGGCTGCGCTTGTCTGGGCCTATTGCCAACCAGCAAGGATGTGGGAGGGTTGTGAGCATCATAGGTCATCGGCGCTCGCGAATGAAAAGCGCCCGCTGCACTTCCTGCACATAAGCGGATCCTTCCGCGTTTTGGGGATGGAATTGCTCGTTCCAAGCGTTTTTCTTCCGCCGGGTCACATGGTTGCGCTTGTCTGGGCTTATTGCCAAGCCAGCAAGGGCGTGGGAGGGTTGCGAGCATCATCGGTCAACGGCGCCTGCGAATGAAGAGCGCCCGCTGCACTTCATGCACATGTGCGGGTCCTTTAGCGTTTTGGGGCTGAAAGCGCTCGTTCCAAGCGTTTTTCTTCTGCCGGGTCACGTGGCTGCACTTCTTTGGGACTATTGTTAAACTAGCAAGGGCGTGGGAGGGTTGCGAGCATCATCGGTCATCGGCGCTCGCGAATGAAGAGCGCCCGCTGCACTTCAAGCACATGTGCGGATCCTTCCGCGTTTTGGGGCTAGAAGCGCTGATTCCGAGCGTTTTTCTTATGCCGTGTCAAGTGGATGCGCTTGTCTGGGCCTATTGCCAAGCCAGCAAGGGAGTGGGAAAGTTGCGAGCATCATTGGTCATCGGCGCTCGCGAATGAAGAGCGCCCGCTGCACTTCCTGCACATGTGCGGATCCTTCCGCGTTTTGTGGCTGGAAGGTCTCGTTTCGAGCGTTTTTCTTCCGCCGGGTCACGTGGCTGCGCTTGTTTGGGTCAATTGCCAAGCCAGCAAGGGCGTGGGAGGGTTGCGAGCATCATCGGTCATCAGCACACGCGAATGAAGAGTGCCCGCTGCACTTCCTACACATGTGCGGATCTTTCAGCGTTTTGTGGCTGGAAGCGCTCGTTCCGAGCGTTTTTCTTCTGCCGGGTCACATGCTTGCGCTTGTTTGGGCTTAATGCCAAGCCAGAAAGGGCGTGGGAGGGTTGCGATCGTCATCGGTCATCGGCGCTCGCGAATGAAGAGCCCCCGCTGCACTTCTTGCACATGTGCGGATCGTTCCGCGTTTTGGGGCTGGAAGCGCTCGTTCGGGCGTTCTTCTTCCGCAGGGTCACGTGGCTGCGCTTGTCTGGGCCTATTGCCATGCCAACAAGGGCGTGGGAGGGTTGCGAGCATCATCGGTCATCGGCCCTCGAGAATGAAGAGCGCCCGCTGCACTAAGGATGGCCCATGTTCAAATACACCTATCAGAGCAATTTCGGATTGGTTCGCGTGCACAGGAAAGTTCGACGCCCACGATGACGGTCGTGCCTGCCCACAAATGCTAAGAAAGCGCATAGATCCCTATAGGCGTACGGAAAATTATCGAACGACCCGAATGTTGTTGGATATTCGGATGGCCCATGTTCAAATACACCTATCAGAGCAACTTCAGAATGGTTCGCAAGAACAGAAAAGTTCGGCGCCCGCGATGACGGCCTAGCCTGCCCACAAATGCTAAAGAAGCGCATGGATCCCTATAAGCGTAAAGAAATGCATCCAACGACCCAAATATTGTTGCATATTTGGGTGGTTCTGGTTCATATACACCTTCCAGAGCAACTTCAGCTTGGTTCGCGCGCACAGAAAAGTTCGGCGCCCGCGATGACGGCCGTGCTTGCCCACAAATGCTAAGGAAGCGCATGGATCCCTATAAGCGTAGGGAAAAGCATAGAACGACCCGAATATTGTTGCATATTCGGGTGGCCCATGTTCAAATACACCTTTCAGAGCAAGTTTAGCTCGGTTCGCACTCACAGAAAAGTTCGGCGCCCGCGATGACGGCTATGCCTGGCCACAAATGCTAAGGAAGCGCATTGATCCCTATAAGCGCAAGGAAACGCATCGAACGACCCAAATATTGTAGCATATTCGGGTGGCCTATGTTCAAATACACCTTCCAGAGCAAGTTTAGCTCGGTTCGCACTCATAGAAAAGTTCGGCGCCCGCGATGACGGCTATGCCTGGCCACAAATGCTAAGGAAGCGCTTTGATCCCTATAAGCGTAAGGAAACGCATCAAACGACCCAAATATTGTAGCATATTCGGGTGGCCCATGTTCCCATCACCCCGCCCCATTCTCCCTCTTTCCAGCACCCCGCTCCATTCTCATGCTTTCCATCACCCTGACCCATTCTCCCGTTTTCCATCACCCCGCCCCATTCTCCCGCTATCCATCACCCCGCCCCATTCTCCCGCTTTCCATCACCCCGCCCCATTCTCCCGCTTTCCATCACCCCGCCCCATTCTCCCGCTTTCCATCACCCCGCCCCATCCTCCCTCTTTCCATCACCCCGCCCCGTTCTCCCGCTTTCCATCACCCCGCCCCATTCTCCCGCTTTCCATCATCCCGCCCCATTCTCCCTCTTTCCATCACCCCTCCCCATTCTCCTGCTTTACATCACCCCGCCCCATTCTCCTGCTTTCCATCACCCTGCCCCATTCTCCCGTTTTCCATCACCCCGCCCCATTCTCCCTCTTTCCATCACCCCACCCCATTCTCCCGCATTCCATCACCCCGCCCCATTCTCCCGCTTTCCATCATCCCGCCCCATTCTCCCGCTTTCCATCACCCCGCCCCATTCTCCCGCTTTCCATCACCCCGCCCCATTCTCCCGCTTTCCATCACCCCGCCCCATTCTCCCGCTTTCCATCACCCCGCCCCATTCTCCCGCTTTCCATCACCCCGCCCCATCCTCCCTCTTTCCATCACCCCGCCCCATTCTCCCGCTTTCCATCACCCCGCCCCATTCTCCCGCTTTCCATCACCCCGCCCCATTCACCCTGTTTCCATCACCCCTCCCCATTCTCCCGCTTTCCATCACCCCGCCCCATTCTCCCGCTTTCCATCACCCCGCCCCATTCTCCCGCGTTCCATCACTCCGCCCCATTCTCCCGCTTTCCATCACCCCACCCCATTCTCCCGCTTTCCATCACCCCGCCCCATTCTCCCGCTTTCCATCACCCCTCCCCATTCTCCCTCTTTCCATCACCCCGCCCCATTCTCCCTCTTTCCATCACCCCGCCCCATTCTCCCGCTTTCCATCACCCCGCCCCATTCCTCCCTCTTTCCATCACCCCGCCCCATTCTCCCGCTTTCCATCACCCCGCCCCATTCTCCCGCTTTCCATCACCTCGCCCTATTCTCCCGCTTTCCATCACCCCGCCCCATTCTCCCGCTTTCCATCACCCCACCCCATTCTCCCGCTTTCCATCACCCCGCCCCATCCTCCCTCTTTCCATCACCCCGCCCCATTCTCCCGCTTTCCATCACCCCGCCCCATTCTCCCGCTTTCCATCACCCCGCCCCATTCTCCCTGTTTCCATCACCCCTCTCCATTCTCCCGCTTTCCATCACCCCGCCCCATTCTCCCTCTTTCCATCACCCCTCCCCATTCTCCCGCTTTCCATCACCCCGCCCCATTCTCCCGCTTTCCATCACCCCGCCCCATTCTCCCGCTTTCCATCACCCCTCCCCATTCTCCCGCTTTCCATCACCCCGCCCCATCCTCCCTCTTTCCATCACCCCGCCCCATTCTCCGGCTTTCCATCACCCCGCCCCATTCTCCCGCTTTCCATCACCCAGCCCCATTCTCCCGCTTTCCATCACCCCGCCCCATTCTCCCGCTTTCCATCGCCCCGCCCCATTCTCCCGCTTTCCATCGCCCCGCCCCATTCTCCCGCTTTCCATCGCCCCGCCCCGTTCTCCCGCTTTCAATCGCCCCGCCCCGTTCTCCCGCTTTCAATCGCCCCGCCCCCTTCTCCCGCTTTCTATCGCCCCGCCCCATTCTCCCGCGTTCCATCACCCCGCCCCATTCTCCCGCGTTCCATCACCCCGCCCCATTCTCCCGCTTCCATCACCCCGCCCCATTCTCCCGCTTTCCATCACCCCGCCCCATTCTCCCGCTTTCCATCACTCCTCCCCATTCTCCCGCTTTCCATCACCCCGCCCCATTCTCCCGCTTTCCATCACCCCGCCCCATTCTCCCGCTTTCCATCACCCCGCCCCATTCTCCCGCGTTCCATCACTCCGCCCCATTCTCCCGCTTCCATCACGCCGCCCCATTCTCCCGCTTTCCATCACCCTGCCCCATCCTCCCGCTTTCCATCACCCCGCCCTATTCTCCCGCTTTCCATCACCCCGCCCCATTCTCCCGCTTTCCAGCACCCCGCCCCATTCTCCCGCTTTCCATCACCCCGCCCCATTCTCCCGCATTCCATCACTCCGCCCCATTCTCCCGCTTTCCATCACCCCGCCCCATTCTCCCTCTTTCCATCACCCCTACCATTAGCATTACCATTACCATTAGCATTACCATTACCATTAGCATTACCATTACCATTATCATTAGCATTAGCTTTACCATTACCATTACCATTAGCATTACCATTACCATTAGCATTTCCATTACCATTAGCATTCCCATTACCATTAGCATTACCATTACTATTACTATTACCATTACCATTAGCATTACCATTACTATTACCATTAGCATTACCAATACTGTTACCATTAGCATTAGCATTACCATTACCATTAGCATTACCATTACCATTAGCATTACCATTACCATTACCATTAGCATTAGCATAACCATTACCATTACCATTACCATTACCATTAGCATTCCGTTACCGTTGCCATTGCCATTGCCATTAGCATTACCATTATCATTGCCATTACCATTACCATTGCCATTACCATTACCATTACCATTGCCATTGCCACTACCTTAGCATTAGCATTACCATTAGCATTACCATTAGCATTAGCATTAGCATTACCATTAGCATTAGCATTAGCATTACCATTACTATTAGCATTACCATTACCATTAGCATTACCATTACCATTAGCATTACCATTACCAGTAGCATTACCATTACTATTAGCATTACCATTACCATTAGCAATACCAATACAATTTCCATTACCACTAGCATTACCATTACCATTAGCATTAGCATTACCATTAGCATTAGCATTACCATTACCATTACCATTAGCATTACCATTACCATTAGCATTACCAATTCCATTAGCATTAGCATTAGCATTACCATTACCATTAGCATTATCATTACCATTAGCATTACCATTACTATTAGCATTAGCATCACCATTACCATTACCATTACCATTAGCAATACCATTACCATTAGCCAAACCATTACCATTACCATTACCATTAGCATTACCATTACCAATACCATTACCATTACCATTAACACTAGCATTACCATTATCATTACCATTACCATTAGCATTACCATTAGCATTACCATTACCATAACCATTACCATTACTATTAGCATTACCATTAGCATTACCATTACCATTACCATTAGCATTACAATTAGCATTAGCATTACCATTACACATTAGCATTACCATTACCACTACCTTAGCATTAGCATTACCATTAGCATTAGCATTAGCATTAGCATTACCATTAGCATTAGCATTAGCATTAGCATTACCATTACCATTAGCATTAGCATTAGCATAAGCATTACCATTACCATTACCATTAGCATTACCATTAGCATTACCAATACCAATACCATTAGCATTAGCATAAGCATTACCATTACCATTACACATTAGCATTACCATTACCATTACCATTAGCATTATTATTACCATTGGCATTAGCATTACCATTACTATTACCATTAGCATTACCATTAGCATTACCATTACCAATACCATTACCATTAGCATTACCATTACCATTAGCATTACCATTACCATTAGCATTACCATTACCATTATCATTAGCATTTGCATTACCATTACCATTACCATTAGCATTACCATTACCATTAGCATTACCATTACCATTAGCATTCCCATTACCATTAGCATTACCATTACTATTACCATTACCATTACCATTAGCATTACCATTACTATTACCATTAGCATTACCAATACTGTTACCATTAGTATTAGCATTACCATTACCATTAGCATTTCCATCACCATTAGCATTACCATTACCATTAGCATTAGCATTACCATTAGCATTACCATTACCATTACCATTACCATTGGCATTACCATTACCATTACCATTACCATTACCATTACCATTAGCATTTCCGTTACCATTAGCATTACCATTACCATTAGCATTACCATTACCATTGCCATCACCATTACCATTGCCATTACCATTACCATTGCCATTGCCACTACCTTAGCATTAGCATTACCATTAGCATTAGCATTAGCATTACTATTAGCATTAGCATTAGCATTACCATTAGCATTAGCATTAGCATAAGCATTAGCATAAGCATTACCATTACCATTAGCATTACCATTAGCATTACCAATACCAATACTATTAGCAATAGCATAAGCATTACCATTACCATTACACATTAGCATTACCATTACCATTACCATTAGCATTACCATTACCATTGGCATTAGCATTACCATTACTATTACCATTAGCATTACCATTAGCATTAGCATTACCAATACCATTACCATTAGCATTACCATTACCATTAGCATTACCATTACCATTAGCATTACCATTACCATTACCATTAGCATTAGCATTAGCATTACCATTACCATTAGCATTACCATTAGCATTACCATTACCATTAGCATTACCATTACCATTAGCATTCCCATTACCATTAGCATTACCATTACTATTACCATTACCATTACCATTAGCATTACCATTACCATTACTATTAGCATTTCCAATACTGTTATCATTAGCATTAGTATTACCATTACCATTAGCATTACCATTACCATTAGCATTACCATTACCATTAGCATTACCATTAGCATTAGCATTACCATTAGCATTACCATTAGCATTACCATTATCATTACCATTACCATTACCAATAGCATTTCCGTTACCATTAGCATTACCATTACCATTAGCATTACCATTACCATTGCCATTACTATTACCATTACCATTAGCATTACCATTATCATTGCCATTACCATTACCATTAGCATTTCCGTTACCATTAGCATTACCATTACCATTAGCATTACCATTACCACTAGCATTACCAATACAATTACCATTACCACTAGCATTACCATTACCATTAGCATTACCATTACCATTCCCATTTGCATTACCATTAGCATAATCAGACCCATTAGTATTACCATTACCATTACCATTAGCATTACCATTACCATTACCATTAGCATTACCATTACAATTACCATTACCAATAGCATTACCATTACCATTACCATTACCATTACAATTAGCATTACCATTACCATTACCAATAGCATTACCATTAGCATTAGCATTACCATTACTATTAGCATTACCATTACCATTACCATTACCATTACCATTCCCATTACCAATAGCATTACTATTAGCATTACCATTACCATTAGCATTACCATTACCATTACGATTACCATTACCATTAGCATTACCATTACCATTAGCATTACCACTACCATTAGCATTACCATTACCATTAGCATTACCAATACAATTTCCATTACCACTAGCATTACCATTACCATTAGCATTACCATTACCATTAGCATTACCATTACCATTAGCATTACCATTACCATTAGCATTACCATTACCATTAGCATTACCATTAGCATAACCAGAACCATTAGCATTATCATTACCATTACCATTACCATTACCATTACCATTACCATTCCATTACCATTGGCACTACCATTACCATTAGCAATACCATTACCATAAGCATTACCATTACCATTAGCATTAGCATTACCATTACCATTAGCATTACCAATACAATTACCATTTCCACAAGCATTACCATTACCATTAGCATTACCATAACCATTAGCATTACCATTACCATTCCCATTAGCATTACCATTAGCATAATCAGACCCATTAGTATTACCATTACCATTACCATTAGCATTACCATTACCATTACCATTAGCATTACCATTACCATTACCATTACCAATAGCATTACCATTACCAATAGCATTACCATTACCATTACCATTAGCATTACCATTACCATTACCATTACCATTATGATTACCATTACAATTAGAATTACCATTACCATTACCAATAGCATTACCTTTAGCATTAGCATTAGCATTACCATTACCATTACCATTACCATTACCATTACCATTACCATTCCCATTACCATTAGCATTACCATTACCATTAGCATTACCATTACCATTAGAATTACCATTTCTATTAGCATTACCATTACCATTAGCATTACCATTACCATTAGCATTACCAATACAATTTCCATTACCACTAGCATTACCGTTACCATTAGCATTACCATTACCATTACCATTAGCATTACCATTACCATTACCATTAGCATTACCATTACCATTAGCATTACCATTACCATTTGCATTACCATTAGCATAACCAGAACCATTAAAATTTTCATTACCATTACCATTACTATTACCATTACCATTAGCATTACTATTACAATTACCATTACCATTACCATTCCATTACCATTGGCACTACCATTACCATTAGCAATACCATTACCATAAGCATTACCATTACCATTAGCATTACCATTACCATTAGCATGACCAGTACAATTACCATTACCACTAGCATTACCATTACCATTAGCATTACCATAACCATTAGCATTACCATTACCATTCCCATTAGCATTACCATTAGCATAATCAGACCCATTATTATTACCATTACCATTACCATTAGCAATACCATTACCATTACCAATAGCATTACCATTACCATTAGCATTACCATTACCATTACCATTACAATTAGCATTACCATTACCATTACCAATAGCATTACCATTAGCATTAGCATTACCATTACTATTAGCATTACCATTACCATTACCATTACCATTACCATTACCATTCCCATTACCAATAGCATTACCATTACCATTAGCATTACCATTACCATTAGCATTACCATTACCATTAGAATTACCATTACCATTAGCATTACCTTTACCATTAGCATTACCATTACCATTAGCATTACCATTACCATTAGCATTACCAATACAATTTCCATTACCACTAGCATTACCATTACCATTAGCATTACCATTACCATTAGCATTACCATTACCATTAGCATTACCATTACCATTAGCATTACCATTAGCATAACCAGAACCATTAGTATTATCATTACCATTACCATTACCATTACCATTAGCATTACTATTACAATTACCATTACCATTACCATTCCATTACCATTGGCACTACCATTACCATTTGCAATAC